CCCCCCCCCCCCCCCCCCCCCCCCCCCCCCCCCCCCCCCCCCCCCCCCCCCCCCACTTTGGAAATTTTTGTTTCAATTTTACTCCGATTTGAAGAAAATAGAAGAAATTTTGATTAGTTTACTCCGATTTTTGAAGAAAATAGAAGAGATTTTTATTGATTTACTCCGATTGTTGAAAAACAACCTCCCGTTTTCAAGTAACCCCCCTAGATTTTTATTGCTTTGCGCCGTCCCTGCCAATAAGTATTACTAGCAATAAAGATTTCTAAGAAATTCTATCTATAGTAGAGTAGACCATAAATATCTTGACAATAAAATTTTATTATTTTTACTTCACTTCAAGATTTATAAATCTTTTCTTTTTACAAAAGACAGCTTCTTTCAACTATTGATATTTACTTCAATGAAGAAAATAGCTCATCCATAATTTTATCACATTTGAGAGTTAATACAAAAGTCAAGGTGATACATAAAGGCAATAGCGTGAAACAAGCCAATGTAAATTCTCAAAATAATACTAGTAAACAATAGTTTTTATTGTCAAAAAACAGCAATAGTACTGTGAAAAAAGTCTCCGAACAGTGCCCTATAGATTCATTATAATACCTGTGAATATTTGGTCTTTTATCACACAAGTACATATGGCTCAAACTATGTGATAGAAATAAAAAATAATAATTATATTTACGATAGTCCTGGCTTAATGAGAGCTATGAAATGCATGTTTTAGATTGTATTAATTCAGTTTTTGATGAGAAAAATTGATCACAAAAGAAGATCGATAGTTCTCAGATTTTCCCTCTAAATTCCTCACTATTTCGTTTAGTATGTATAATTATCTTACCAATATTTTCATCTTTGTCGTTGTCTTGTTCGGAAAGTGGATGATCATATAGACGAATATAAATCTAGTTAATGAAGAAAAGAGAAAAACATTTTTCACTAGATGATTCGCTATTGTCTTATAGCAATCGGTTACTTCAACAGCAATTTCAGCTGCACGACGAAAAAATCGATGACCTTTCATATGATCTTCAAGATTGAGCATGTCAACATAAGCGCATAACACCATTTTACGTAGACAATATGAATGAAAATCAAATTGATCTTCAACAAATTCTTGAAAATGCTAAATAAAAATAGAAAACCAATTCGTAATAAAAAATAAAGTCATTTTAACATCTGCAGAAATTTACTCGATCAATCTCATGACATTTTTTCAATGATTCACCATATTTCTTTAAACGTCTATAGGCTCTTGCTGTTTCTAATTCAAACCACATACATTGCATTTCACGTAAATACTCCAATGTCGATGAATTTTCCTTCGAAATATTTCAAATAAATTTTTTCAATAAGACTTTTTATTTTTCTCTCTACTCGTGTAAATTTTCCAGCCATGTCAATAGCAACATTGATTTGATTAGCAAGTAAGAAATATTTCGTACATTTACAATTAACAAATCTATCGGCTGTGTCAAGTGATTGAGCTTCATCCATCCATGAAGCTGCCGTTTGAAAATCGCCTGCATGCTAATTAAATCAGCGACAACAACGAAACTGTCAATTTTTATAAAATGAAAATAAACAATCAAAAAACCTTGAAAAGTTTTGCTTTGAACATGTAAAGCTCCACAAGTGTTGGCGTATCACGAATAGCTTGATTGATGAATTCAAATGCTTTATCTAATTTACCTAAATGATCATAATGTTGCGAAAGATAATATTGAAGCCAAAGAAGAGTTGACGCAGGTTCAACGGGCTCATTATCTATGTAGAAAAATGCTTTAGTTTTTAACATCAATCAACGGAATCATACCTAATGATACATCGAATGTTCCATATTGATTTAAATTATTAAGATAAGTATTCAAAAGTGAATCGATTAATTGAATCTAAAACAGCTGAATATTTGATTTTTCGTTTCGAACATCTGTATACTAACTTTTTCTGATGTTGCATAGAGAAATTTAACGGATTGAAATAGTGATGGTACACCTTTTTGAAATCCTTTTTGTAAATATAATCCGATAGACTTTGAAAATGCTTCACCTAAATATATATAAATAGTTATAAACTAATTGATTTCTTGAAAATCAAAATCTTTTAATTCTGAATAATAGGTTTTACTAGATTTGCTGCATTACGCCGTTTGTCTCTCTCTTGATTCGATTACTATGAGTGACAGTTTCATCTGTCAGGCTAATCCCAATTTGTCTCAAGCAATAACTAGACATTGTTTCTTGGTATTCTGCTTCTTTCTTTTTTTTATAAATGCGGCCATGATCATATTCATCAATGCTTTCATTCATCGTACGCTCTCATGCACAATAGTTGTAGATATTCACATTAAAGTGTCGTTTATTTGTTAGACTTCTTATGAAGATGAATATTTGATTAAAATGTATTGTTAATTCATAAAATACAAAAGAACTATCAATCTAATCTGATTCTTTCATAGAATCTTGAACAAGAGAATCATATTTATTGACTTTTACGTAAGATTCTATTAACTATATAGGTCATACACTTGAGAGAAGAAAAAAGTGTAGAACATAATGATAGTTTTCTAGAGTGTTGTATCGACTTTGAAAAGCTCTCATATACATTCAGGATTCACTATTAGGCAAGTACTAATCGAAGAATTATATGTGATGATAATCGAAACGGACTGTCATAAGAAAGATCCAACTCAATATTAATAAAGCGAAGAACGTCGCCGATGGATGACAACTATTCCAGTTCGTCTGAGTATCAAAGGGCTGCATTTTATGGATCTTTTCAAAAAATAAAAAATATTCTATTACCGGTTTGAAATTGTAAACATATTTGTTTTGGTGCATCAGCTCTAGGATATTTTTCAATAAGATTTTCATATAAATTTGATTTTTCTTCATTATTTGTTAAATTTAAACATTTTTCTAACATAAAATAATATTTTTTATTTTCAGGATTTCGATCGATTAAATCTCTTAGAATAGTTTCAGCACGATCAAGTGATGATAAACGCATATATAGATCATATTTTATTTCCGCTAACTCTAATTTATTATAAATATCTTTTTCATGCACTTGTATATGACGTAATGCATCATCATATTGTCCAGATTCACGTAAAACAAGATTTTGATATAATAAAAATTCCGAATGTTCATTATCATATGGTTTATCGGGTGCTGGTGCTGGACGATCTTGTTGCGTTTTACGAAATTCTTCTAATACGCTTTGTGCCATATCAAAATCACCTAACAAATGATATGACATAGCAAAACCAACCCATGATTGACGTTGGCCAGGTTTTAAATTAAACAATTGATGACGTGTTTCCTTAATTAATTTATCAGTTAATCAAATTAAAGTCAAAAATATTTTATTATTTTCATTCTTACTTTATAACCGTCCATATCACGCATTTGAATTTGTAATAATGATAAATCCCGCAGAATTGTTAAACTATCCTATTGAATTAGAAAGCAACCGTTAGTATGATCCGGATAGGATTGTGGTTACTAATGATAGGAAGCTAGTTTAATTAGATTTATTTCATTGAGAAAAAAAGTTCTGTATAATATACGAGCAATACAAAAAAGTCGATAGCAGTTTTTTCGAAATCGAACCGCTTCAGTTCTTGTAATGTATTCCTAATCTTTTAATATGTACTCAAACTTGTATCATATTAATATGACGCATAGAAGACTAGGGGTGGCACTTTACGTTAATTTAATATTAAGTGTTAAGTAAAACCACTTAATTAACTCTCTTAATTAACTCAAATTAAAATCAACGGTCCACCTCTATAGAAGACTACGCTAAATTAATGTTGATAAGAATTAAGTTTTATGAATACAAGTGAAAGCGCCTGATTTAAAATAGAAAATATTTGTTCAAATGACTCATGTCCACAAGAACATGAAAATTCTAACGCCTTACAGTAATTACACATGTATCACGTAAGACTAATAGTGTTCTTCTATGTGTCAAACTCAATGTTGCAAGGTTAATTTATTTTATCGCACCCTCTTAGTTCATAATGTCAGTCAAGATATACAGATTTTTTCAGAAAATAACTATTCTATTTTGCCAACCTTTTCACATTGTAATGCTTTTTTATATGCTTTAATTGCTTCATCATATTTCCGTTCAGATCTTTGAAATAGGCCATAAACATGCCAAACAACATGACTTGACATATTATTTTTAATACCACTACGAATATTTTCTAACGCTTCTTCTTTTCTACCCATAGAATTAAGAATTAAACCTTTCATAGACAATGTTTCTAGAGAGCAAACAAGGTTATATTTAAGTCTTTTTTTATGTTAAACATATACGATTCATACCACCATGATTTGGAAACTTTTTTAAAATTTCTCGAGCAGATGTTAAACCTTTTTTATATTGTTTTTGTTCATAAAAACGCTACAGATAAAAAAAATAGATACATAATAGATTTACTACATGAGTAATCGTTTGTAACGTACCACCAATTTTTTAAATAAACCACTTTCTCTTGACGGTAGTTGCTGACCGGGTGATTGAGCTGGCGGAGGCATAATTAATTGTCTAAGTTAGAAAAACGGAAAAGCCAGATGAAAATGAGGATTCCAAATGTCACTCACACTAGTTCAATACCGTTTTATTTCTTTGAATTTCAATTAGGAAAAATAGATAGGAATTTGAAGAGAAAGAAAATGAAATACTGAAATAAAAGAACAAGTAAATAAATAAACAAACGACCATAAGAGAAGAAAAGGAGGCCGACATTGGAACATCCATCTTTATCCAATATTTATTAGGAGATACATGTTCAAATCATTTTAGTGGTTAACTGAAAACCATTGATAGATCATTATAAGAATCATTGAGTATAAACTAGTGCCATCTACATTTTACTCGCCTAAAGAAGTGTTCCGGTTGGTATCGATCTCTACCGCAAGCTCGTCGAATTGATTTTGGTCCTAGGCCCGATGTCTGAAATTGGTTTCGTACATATCGCTTCTTGACAAATGATTTAAGGGTTATTAATTCGAAATGTTAGGAATTTTCTGATGAATGATTCCTTGCGATTTATATATACATTTAGAAACTCAACTCAAAAGTATTTCGTTGCAAATAATGTTAAACATTCTTTCTACAGTAATGCTGATTATAGCACTGATAAGTTTTTAAGACGATCCATATCGACGAATATAATTAGATTCGATATATAAAACTTGCCGAAAGAATATTTGACAGAGACAAAAAGCAAATTTTTACAAAATTTCTATATTTCAATATGTCATCATAATATCAATTATTCTAGAAATAGTGCAAATAAACTCCTTTTTTCTATAGTTCTCGTGCGTACTTATGAAATTCTTCAACATCCAACAGAAACATTATATTATCAAGAGTTATTATTAAAACTACTTTTAGCCTTTGACAACGAAACTTCTCTATCCTATTTCTTTCTTATGAGAGAGATTTGCTTCCTTCGTTGCATCTCACGCATTAAATTTCAAAAAGAAAATAAGTATATATGATGATATACCAAATCTTTTACCTCTCATAATGTTCACTTCATTTTTTCTGTTTCTGTACAATCAAAAAACCAAACTCTATACAAGATCGGAAAAAAACAAGCAAAAAGATGAAAGGCAGAGTACATAAGATTCACATGCATGCATTTCTACACGTCCTTTTTTTGAGTCTTTTGAAAGAGAAAAATTATCGCTCAGTATGAACAATAAACAAACAACAAAGAAAGTAGAAACCGGTCGATTTGTACACAAGAACGTTTAGGATAGTGAGTTTTGATCGAAACGAAGGCAAAACATATTACTTGTGTTTAAGATGACAAAAAATAAATAAATGTATTAAAGTAACATTAAGCCAATAGCAAAAGATAACATACATATGCATCACAGTGAATAAAAAGAAAAAAAAATTATCGCACCTATCTTGAAATAAGGCGAGCTAATATAATGAAGATAGTCAGGCTTTACTAAGGTGGATGAAAACGTGTGTATTTTGCACTTTCTGGATGAATTTCCATTTCAGAACTCTTATATTCATTCAGTTCTCGTCGTATCAGTTGTTTGTCTCGTTGTGTTAAACGTGTCCACGGCTTATCGGCACGTCGATCAACATCATCACATTCGGATACTTCAATATAATCACAGAATCGAATAATTTTTCGGTCACGAAGTTCTAAAAAATAAAAATACAAAATCGTCAATCTATATCCATGTAGGGAAAAGTCAGTGCTGGAGATTTTTATTTACTCGTAAGAGTTATTAATAATACTGAAGTATTTGATATGTAGTAGTTTTGCTGAAACGAAAGCTTAATTAAATTTCTATTTCTATAAACGATATGCTAAGTAAATTCAGTAGATATTTTATAAGATCTGCGAATATTGATGCAAACTTGTTGCTTAAAATTTGTTAAGTTTTCAAATAGAAAAACGAATTATTCTCAGTTCGGAATTCTTTAGATAATATTGAGAGGAAATTTTTGTTCAACTCTCTTTTTGTTATGCACTATGTGTGTAAGACTCGACTCAGTAACTGTTTCGTGTTGATTTCATAGAGTTAGCAAGATATTCGTTAATTACTTTTTCATTCACATCAGCTGAAAGAGCCGACACTTTAACAAATGTCTATACTAAGAAGAAAGATAATTCTTTAAATGAAAAGTGCCAATGCCTCGCTCTGGCTGTCATAGACAATACATTAATCAAACTTAATTGTTTTTTCGTTATCATATCTTACCTTGAATACTTGGTCGAAAGCTGAGTTTACGTATTAAAAACCGTTTTTTCTCTTCTTTTTCTGCAATCAATTCATCTTGTGTTTTAGCACGTAAAATATTTCTTGCTTCAAGTTCTTCTGGTCTTGGTCGTAATGATAATTTACGTTCTAGTTTTGTTTCGATAGTTTCACGTTCATTTTTGCGTTCATCCACTGGTTTAACAAGAATATGTTTATCGAATAGTTCACCTGGTAACGGACGATCTTTAAGAAAACGTGCTAATGAATCATTCCGTTGTACATTAGCAAAACGTTTTTTTGGCTCATGATTTTCTTCATCAGATGAAGAATCATCGTCAAAATGTCGATTGTGTTCATTATTTACAGATTTTGCTGACGACGACATAAGAGCAGCAGAGTGAAATTTAGGACTTGGCCGTGGTGATGGTCGTTGATTTTCTCGAAAAACTGGTATAACACGACGTTTAAGACCATTGGGTTTCTTTAGTGCACTTTTTTCAGGTTGTCGTGATAGATCTGGTTCTTTAGGTGGAATTTCTTCATATTTTGTTGTATCTATATCTTGCACAGTAATTTGTTTTGCTGTTTGAATTATTGCTGTAGATGAAGAATTCGTCGATGGTGATGAAGAAACATTACTAGTTGTTGTAGTCGAAATTTGTTTTTCATTGATACTGTTTGGTATAGTAGTTGGAGATGAAGAATTTCGAGTATTCACAGGTGAATTCTGTGCTTGAAATCTATCTTTTAATAATGTAGCTGAAGCACTAAAATTAGCATACATAATATTGGTGTCATTTGTTGAATCACTGATAGGAGCAAATTGATTCGATATAGGTTTATCGGAGAATGCAATATGCCGTTGTTCAGGTGTATTAGATATTCCAGGAGTGAATGAAGTTGTATTCACGTTTGATGCCGATGAAAGATTATTGTTGAAATAATTGGAACGTATCGGTGTAACACGATTAATATCAGGTTTAGGAGCAACTAAAAGCAAAGAAAAAACAATAAATTATAAGGCTTTATCAATGAGATTTTATTTTTATTATTATTAATAAATAAATACGTACCAGGAGGTGGAATTTTAGATGAATTTGATGATGACATTGCTGACGGCATTGTACTATTGGTTGTTTCTAGCATTGATGACACATAGCCAGATGCAACAAATTTTGTATTATCAGTTGTTTGCATCGGTAAGATTCGACTTGACGAGGCAGATTCTTGCCGTGACGTCGATTCTTGAATATTATTAGTTAACGCTGCAGACTTTGCCCAGGGTGATTGAATATAACCACGAACATTTCTTGTTGGTCCGTCAAAATTTACAGTTGCACTATCGACACTATTTGATCGAATTGACGAAGCAGGAATTTGTTCTGTTACGATAATTCGTTGTGGAGGAGTTTGATTTGCAGTTAAATCAGTTGATAATGAACGCATATTGGTTACTGATGGTTTAACTTGTGATAGATCAATATCAGTTATTACATAACGGCCACTAGATGCTGGAGGTGAAGATGGTATTGAAATATTTGCTGATAAAGCAGATGGTGTAGGTGATGATACTGATGGCGATTTCTTTCTCGTACGCCATGATGAAAAACCTTGACGTATCATTTTTTGTATAGAAAATTTTCCATTTGTATTATTTACGCGTTTGGTTGTTTCATTTAACTTGGGAGTAGAATCCATATCAGTTGGCGTTAAATAATTAGTTTTGCTTTCTGGTGGCATTAAATCACGTTTTATCGTTGTGACATTTTGTGATTGATCTTTTAGCATACTCGACGAATTCGAATTTACTTGTTGATTGTATGAATAATCATATGATTCACGAGATGAAGGCGTTGATAAAGAAGGATCAAGATTATTGTTATTATTATTGTTGTTATTGTTAATATTAGGTGTATTTAAAAGTCCAATATTTTCATATGTTGCCATAGATAAGGTCGCATCCTTTGAAGAAATTAAATGAAAGGAAAAAATGTAAGAATTGAGTATTTATATATTATTGGATCCCCATCACGCTCTCTTCTATGATTCTTATCAATAAATAAATATGCATTTACTTTATTGAAGAAAATAGAGAATGCTTAGAAGCAAAAGAAGAAAGAAAAGAATTTCAATAGTTGACATGGTTCATGCCTATCAAGACTGACATGACACATAAATTTATTCGACATACGTGCTTATATGATGTGTGATATGAGAACTATGATTAGAAAACATGATCATTGCACATGTTTAATTTTTCATAAAGACTAACATCGTAATCATAAATCAATTATAAACACGTCTTATCGTTTTTCATTAATATTTTTCTCGGGTATATATAAAAAACAAATTTTGTCACTGTAATATTTCCCGTGTGAATTGGTAACACTCATTGTTTCGGATAAGTAGTAGCTTAAATAGTGTTTCTTTTTATTTTCCTCAACAAAAATGATAACTGTTGATAGATTAAATATTTCTTACTGTTTTTCTCTCTCGCTATTAGAAAGTAGTAGTTTCTTTTGCGCTTACTGTTGGCCATCCGAACGAACGCACATATGCGTAATCACAAATGAAGGTCATCCGTCCTTCTCACATATCATTCGTCTTCTTTTTTTATATCTCTATATACATTTATAGAAAAACAAAATAACAAATTAGTCTTTCTAACCTTATTAGTGTGTTGTTTACTCATCAATCACAAATAGACGAATCTATGTCTCTATACACGTATTTATTTTGAAACTAGCATTACAATGCAATAGTTGGAATCTTATGCGACAAACAGAACAATAAACAATGAAGCAAGAAGAAAAACACATTACAAGTCGAACTTAACGTGTAGCTTATCGAACATAAATATATAGAGAAACGATTGAAATATATATAGACATGAGCTTATCGATTGAGTGCGAAGAGACAGACAGTAGAGTAGAAGAAATTTATTGACAAATCCGAAAACAATCATTTATAGAAAAGTAGACTGTACGAGACACGACTATGAAAACAAGAGACAAGATGTCGTAATGTCAATACATTGATATATTCGTCTTTTTCTACTATATACGAACGAGTAACGATTAGTTGTAATAGTGTTGCGAAGACATCTGTGCAGATTGTAGTAGACAGACGGAGAAAAATGCGTTAAGTATCAAAGAAAGAGTCAACGGCGCAAAATATATCTTATCTAAGAAGGAAACAAAGCGATAAGAAACATTTTTTCTATTATATATATATATATATATTTATGCAGCTGACGCATAGGATATAAAAGAAAACATATTCACTATCGGCTTTTTATTTGCTCGAAAATATTTCTATGGAAGTAATAAATACTCACGCGCATGTATATAGGTTACCATTTATGATAAAACAGAAGAAAAACGTAGGTAAAATGATTTGTTTTGTATAAAGAACTCAAATGACATGCATAATTAAGAATGTAAAGAAAATTTACTCATCTGACTTTTAATATAGACAACAACGCCCGAAGAATAGGTATTATTAAATAGTAGAAGAGAAATATTGATTTTCAAAACTTACACCTGTATTATCGAAGGTGTACTGGAAAATATTCGAATTATTTTCTTCATTACTATCGTTTCCATTCTTGTTCTCGTCGCCATAAATAGTATTGATAAGACCATTTAGATCGTCATATTTAGAATAACAATAATCATCACTAATGCTATGAGATAATTGATGTGGCTGAGAATGATAAGATTTACTTCCTTGATTAGTACATCTACTTCGATTAATGTATGTGGCAGGCGGAGACTTTATATTAGATGGTGGGCGACGATATACACCATAAACATTGGAAGCATATGGTATATTAAAAAGATCATGGGATCGCTTGGATAGAGTCGAATATGGAGTATAAGAAGTACGACTCGTTCTGCGATCTGTTTTTGAATACGAACTCAAAGACATATCAATTGATTGATCATGCATTGTTTGATGTTGAGCGTTATGTGAAAAATTCGATGGAATTGATTCCGACGTCATAGTTCGTTTTTATCGTCAATAAAGATCATTTGGTATTTCATTACATTTATTTATTTATTTGTTATTTAAATTTTTACCTACGCACTTGATTTTTGTGTGTAAAATTATTGTAAAGATACACTTCTAATTACTCACAAAACATACAGAAGGAAAAAATAGAAAATTGACAAGTAGTGTTCGTCAAGCGAGAACATTATAAACGAAACTTTGCTTTCCTTCAATTTCAATCGTCTCTCTGTTCTCTTTGATTTTTTTTCTTGTGTGTTAAAGGCATGAAATGAACTCGATACGAAACGAAAAGGAAGGCTAAAACTGAAATCATATAACATAAATGCGTACAAATTGGATGATGAGAGAAAAGTATATGTAAATATAGAAAAAAAAACATCAAATGTATTTCAAGCAACCAATTTAGTAAAGAAATCACTTATGAGCACAATAAAGAGTCTAAGTATGTATACCCGTACGCTTATTGTACGAAAAAAAGTAGATCAACAACAGTCTGTTTACTTACCGATGAGTTAAATTATGTTTGATATAAAACGAACCCGTTTGTATTGTTAGAATGATTATAAATATTCGTAAAAAATAAATACAAATATGTATAAAAAGAAGAACTCAATAATAATGATAACAGAACAACACATACACATAATGAATCACATAATATCTATCGTCTATTTCTATTGGGCGAAATATGCAACCAATCAATAATGAACTTTTTAAGTGTCATTTTTTTTTAAAACATTCTGACATTTATTACAATGAAATAAATATAAAAATAAAACAAAACAAAAAACTTAAACAAAAACCATAAAACCTGTATCTATCATCTTCGATACTATTCGTTTTTTTTTGTATGCATGACTGAAATAAAGTGGTTACCATGACAAATAAATAATCCTCAAGCTTGCTTTTACGTCTATACAACCGAGTATAATTGAGTTTCCAAAAAAGAAAATAATAGTACAAGTAATGTTCAATGACTACAAAAGGTCGCAACCGTTTACGTCCAACAGGACATTCGACTGTTCAACAGTCTCAATATGCGAATATACCACCATCTAATAATTCGACAGGAATTCAGATTAGGTATTTCTTTTTTCCATTAATATAAAGTAAACAAAGTCAATACGAAAGAGAAATTGCAGATTCGGCAAAAATCAATCATCGTCAATAGTGAAGCCACAATCAATATTGAAAAAGCAACGACAGAATAAGCCATACGATGATCATTTTAATGAAAATGTCACTGACTGGCAGCCACCTAGTGATCTTGAATTTCTTTCAATGAAACAAACGTATAGTCCCATTGGCACACCACCTCGCTTACGAACGTATGTAAAGTTAGAGTTTTTTTTTCATTTTATTTAGAAGGACGTATATCTTTTATTGTTTGAATATGAAAAGATTAGATATGGTGTAATAGTTTATGATTAAATAACAAAAAAAAATGCATTTACAAGAAAGATTAATTCTTTGATATGCATTAAGAAACTAAATCCCTATTGAACAAAAATGTTACAAGTAACGAATATCTTGTCTTACAAAGAATAAGTTGTTTGTTTTGTATTCGCTTTACAAGAGCTAACTGAATTAAAACGAGTGTTGCCAAAAAGAAAAGTCTTGAATGAATCATTCTGTAATGACAGAGAAAAACAGGCTTCATTTTTATTTTAAATTATAGAAAATGAATTTTTCTCATTCGTAAATTAGCAAAAGCGTCTCGGCGAGATCGAGAAAAAATGTTATTCTTAATTTGCATATTCACACGATAAGAGGCAATAATTTTATACTTATTTTAGACTGATAACTCCGCCTGGCCTTGAACCCTATAAAAATACTTACAATCTACGTAGACTAAATAGCCCACTGCCAATAGTAGACGATTGGTAGTAAGTATTGAAAAACAAAATACGAGATCCACTTTAGAAAAAAAGACGCACACTATTCTAGTGGTCCTCCGGCAGGACTTGACACATGGGGAATCGATCCTACTGATTATCGTTTAAATCAAAATCTACATTTAATTCGACGCTATCCATCACCGTTAACTCATTTTGGTCTTGGAAACAATTCTCAAAAACAGAAAAAAGTAAGGTCAAAACTTTATTGAATATTCAAAACTAGCTCTCTTTTTCTCTCTCTCTATATATATATCTATTCTTTAAGTCATACATAGTAGTACCTCGTCTATCCAGTTTCAACACTCCACCTATTAGTAGAGATGGCGCTGGTGGTACTTTTACGATGCCACCTGTTCAAGATACACCATCTTATATTCCTGATTCTCAATATTCATATCTTGAACGAGTTCGTTCGCATCCATCAACAAAATATCAACATGTAAGTCTACTTATCATTATAGCATAGTCATCGTTAACATTCTTTAATGGTTTTACTATAAACTTCAAAGATAAGAACGACGAAGAAAAAAAGAAGAAAACATCTCTCTTTCTAGGAGTCTTCTGATTACATTTATATTCGTCGTAATGATGCACTGGCAAATCGTTTTATAGAAGATTTTATTAGTAAATGTATTCAAGACCAGTTTATACCAGATATTCTGCTTGAAATAATTAGTGAACTTGATCGAGAAGTAAATAAAATTTTTCAAAAGAGTTATTCTTTTTAAATAAAAATATTTTTTAATTGTTACAGAATAAAAATAAAACTGACAAATCGGTTAAACCCTCAACTGATCAATATTATACACAAATAAATAATCTCGCCACTCAAAAAGAAATTGGCCATTCCCAGTATGTTCTGTCGGATTAGCTTTTAACGTGATCATAATTTTCTTCTCTTTAGTTTATTTTCTGACGCATGGATACGTGAGCTTGATTATCAACGTCCACACATTCCTTCATCAAATATTGATTCAAATTTATCTTTACTTAAACCATTAGATTTCAGAGAAATTCCATATACACGAATTCAACCACAAATAAGATATCATGATTTACATCAGGATGAGCAAGGCCGAGTATTGAGAGATATTAGTCAAGAGTTAATTAATCAGGAAGTCGAAGATATGGTTACGGAAATAACCGGCCAAACTGTAATTAATAAAGTTAGTATAGTAAATTTTAGTTAATTATTTTATGAAATTATTCTATCTATATATAGTTACATAATGTTCCTGCTATAAATGATGCTACGAATGATATTTATCGTGATATTGAATCTGAAGTTGTAAGAGAAATAATGCGCGATGCAGCCTATGATATTCACAATTCCCAAAGAAATCAAGTTAGTCAAGTACAATTTAATGCGATAGAAAAACAAGCACAAAATAAATTATTAGATACAATATTCCTCGATCAACTAATCGGAAAATATATTAAACAGAATGGTTCCGTTGTTGATGTTGATGATCTTTCACGTTTCTTAGATGGTAAGTTTTCCTTTTGTTTTTTGAAAATCAATCATTTATTCTTAAAATTGAATATTTATTGTAGCAACTATTCTTGATAATTTGATTTATCAATATGAAGATATACAAGATAATCGTTCGAGAACAATAGATAATTATGCTTTAAGGAAATTCCATTTAAATTCATTTATGAATATGGTAAGACTTAAAATAAAACCTAAAGAAATGCTATTTAGAATTCTACTTTTTTTTCTAGACAATGGATTTACTATTAACCGAACTTAGTGCTAGTCTTATTGAAGATATGAAAGATTTGGATGAACAAGAACGCAGAATATTTTAAATTCATGTTTATGTATCTATTTAATTCTTCTGATTTTTATATAAATATCGTCCTAGAAACAAAAAACACATTATCAATCCTATGAAATAGGATAATATATGTATTTTGTTTCTTTTATGATATTATTTATTGTGTATGTGATTAATACTATTGGCCAGTAAATGCTACTGTGTGTCGTGATTTAGTGATTATTATTTAAAAATATGTCGGGGGCTTTTGTTTGTGCGTCTATTTCCTTTTTGACTACGTGTTCTTTTTGTTTTCACTATCGATTTCATCACTCAATATTTAACTTCCTGTTGATATTTTTTTTTTCAGTGTTACGGTATATTGCGTTTATTGACTTATTTAAATACACATCTGTATAAATTATGAATTCGAGAAACAAAATACTTATTCAGTTTTTCAGTATGCTTGAATAAATTTTATATGTATGCTCTGTTGTTCATCAGTGAAAATTATACATGATAATAAAATAAAAAAACGTTGAGTATATGTAGCGTTGTTTTTAGTTAGCCAGTTTCTGCAGTGCTGAAGTTGAGGATGTTGTATGTTTCAATTTCTAAACATAGCCTATGCCAAATCAGTACGAATCGTTCGACATAGTGGAACATCACTAGAGTAAAGTAGACAAACCAGAAGGCTCCTCTTTCTTCATTTTAATGATTCTAATTATATTTACGGGAAAACTAATTAAGATGAACAATTTCCCTTGTTGCTCGATAGGCTTTTTGTTATTTATTTCGACGGAAAATTGTTGCATTTGAATACACGGGTGTACGTTTGTAGTTTAATAAAATAGCCACAAAAACAAGTGATTGGATTCAATACTTAGAATACCATTGCTCGACTAAATCATGAATAGCCGACAGTGAATTATATAAATAGCAGTGGCGGATCCAGAAAATCTGTAAGGGGGTGGCGCTTCTGGCCAAAAAACGGTTTTTCAAGTCTATTTGAGGCATTAAGACTCTAATCTGTTTCATTTCTGCTGAGAAAAATCGAAAAAAATTTCTTAAGGGGGTGGTGATCGCCGGGTAGCCTAACTGGTGAATCCGCCACTGATAAATAGAACAACATTTTCTATCTCATGTAGATTTATAAAATCATGTGAGATATAAACGAGTTTAATTTGTCATACCAAGGTAGAATACTATTTTAAGAAATGATTTACCGAGTTTTGTAAAACGTGAAATTCTCTATCTGTTCATCAGAGTGGCCAGATCTTCTGAAAAATAGGGGAAAATTCTGAATTTTGAACATGTTTCTGATTTTTTTCTGATCTTCTTATTTTTTCTGAATTTGAAATATATTGAGATCGCTGCTTTGTCACTGAAATTAGGTACGATTATAACCCATTTCTATAATAAATCAATACTGTTTCATCAGTTTTCTCTATTAATCATCTTTATATTCCTCGTTGGAATTCTGGCGTCGAATTGATTTTCTGTCATGTAAAGCATTTATAGTCCGATTATCGTAATCCGAGAATATGAAACCAGATAATGCTTAACTTAAAATAAAAATGAACGGTAATTATTCTTGAGAAGGTTTTATTAGCATATATTATCTTAAACAAACTTCCGAGAGCAAATTCCAAAAGATACGAAATATGAATAACAATACCGAGATGATGGGATTTAACGTTTTTTTTCTCGTTGAAATTCTTAATCTACGCATAATGTATTTGATTTAGTTTTGCTCATTTTTGTGAATGAGTTTTAAATTTAAAAAGAAGCTCAACATTAAGTACCTTTTATTGATGTCTTTGTATTAGCTAAGCGATATATTCATTATATTGTCATTCGTTTTATTGAAATATCTTTGAAAATAAAGTTCCAGCCAATGAACAGAAACGCAGCAGAACTTTGGATGTCAGTAATTTAGCGGAAGATGTACGAATTCGCCGAAAACTGCCATTTTCTGATTAATTTCTGATTTTTCAGAGATATTTTCTGATTGTTTTCTGATTTTTCAATTTTTGATCTGGCCACCCTGCGGTTCATCTAACAGTAAATATTTTAAAAATCAATATGAGAAACAGTACATTGATATTTAGTCTTATTTATGATCTTTGACCCTTCAATTTTCGTTTTTACAAATTCATTACATCTAGAAACAGGAAAATCATAATACACTTGTAGTCAAACCGTGCAAATATGAACAACTCTAACATAAATGCGCTTGTTCTTGCGATGAATCAGTGTTAATTTTACTCATAGACTATAGCATTCTTTGATCGTATAATTAGTTTGATAGCCGTGAATCTGTGGATCTGTAGACTGGATATTATATCTCTTATTGAATTCGCCTTATTTCACCTACTACTATGCCTAAAGTTCATATCTAGATCAAATGGATTTTTAACGACTGAACAAAGTAAAAAGAAAAATTTTCTTTTACAATGATATTATTTTCAAAACAAAATAACCGATATGATCTGTTGTAGAAATGAACAAAGTGCTGTTTTTTTCAATCACACATCTGTTTATTTACACAAATAAATTTTGAGAAATAACTAAATCATTAGCCGAGAAACGCTGTGGTGGTTTTATTTTGTATTTTGTTCGGACAAAATTTTCTTTAATTTTCTTCACAGGAGCAATTTGATAAACTGTACATCGAAAACTGAAAGCTTATGACTGGGGTTTATTTTTGGTAGCTTCAATTATGAGTTGATTCCAAGTCACTGTTCCACTCACTGATTGTTCAAAACAATGATATGCATTATCAGCTTGCTTCCACTCACTAAAACATTTTTTTGGTGCTGCTCTTGTACCACTTTCAGCTTTTTTTATCCCTTGGAATCTCCACCAGCAATTATTGAAACCACAGGCTATCGGTTGAACAAAACTCTTGCATATAGGACATACTGTTGTAATATCATCGAGATCACATAGGACATCGAATTTTCTGTAACCCACTGGCATGATAACTTGTTGATTGAAAGCTTTGCATTGTTCATTCATGCATATACCTTCAAGGCATAAACCGCACCTAGTTCTTCGCCAAGGTGGAGCTGTTTTAGACCATCCATGACGCTGTATACTTGCTGCGTTGCTAACGTCAGCAAATCGTGCACCAAGAACACCTATATTACGATTTCGTACATTGGAATAGCACAAAAATAGTACTGAATCTGTTTCTACACCGAAGGATTGTAATGTTTGCGCATCTTCGTCCAGTGTGTCTATATCGAATGTAAAGTACATGTCCTTGAATGTATCTTCATTATCACCGGTGTTTTGGCGAACCAATTGCTTGAGGTCTTTAACAGTGGCAGTGGAGTTAACATCAAATGAGTAAGATCTTGCCGTTCCAAATTGTGTTTGAACGTAGATCTTCATATCGATACTGTCAACGAAAAGGAAGTTAAGTTATATATTTCGAGCGCTTGTATATGTATTTGCTTGATCGATAATACACAAGTCTATCTCGTACTTATGAATTGAGTGTTGAAAAGGTAGCAACAGATAAAAAGAATCTTGAAAATTCATTCACAACCAATCTGTCATACTAGTATAAAATAAAAATATTCAAAGTCAACTTACGTTTTTAAATGTCAAAGTATTATCTATGAGTAAAGTTTGCTTCGTAAAAGAGCACAAAGATTAATGACAATCTAAAATTCGAAAACAACTTAGATGAAATTTCTATGAATTTATTTTATTCTGTCGGTGAATCATCATGACGTCAAGATTGCTTGCAATTCTCGAATGAGAAATAAAAAGTTGTCTGAAAAAGGATTGCACTGAATTTTTTTACATTAATTTATTGTTAACAATAATAGCGAGCGGAATTTTCCAAGCGTTCAATAATTTCTGTCTTGTGACAATAATTGAAGAAAAATATTCTTTTATTATCTGTAATGACACAACACACCTTGCCTGTGCAAATTTTCCCACTGGAAATGGATTGGTGCACGAATATGGCCAATGTTTTGTTTGCTAAACGTACTTCTGCTGCAGAAAAAATTAATAAGCAAAAGCTTAAAAAATAAATAAGTAATAGTAAATGTTTGTCTCATAAAAGAAAGCCTACAGCAGTAGAGTCTAACTGAAATCGTAACAAAACAGCTAATCGCTTTATTACGGCATTCTTGAATGCTTCTTGGCGTTAATTGGATGTAGCTTCAGTGTGGCAGATATTTCAAATGACTTTTTCATAAGTTCAAAAAATTTATCTTCTAGCTAGGATTCGACATTTGTTTTTTTCCGAAGGGAATAGACAAGAAAGCTGCTTTCAATCAATCCAATCACGCTGGTCATCGTGAAAAAGAGGCCTTGATGGTCTGGATGTAAAAGCGACTGAAATGATGTGTTTCAGTGTCGATGAAAATGTTCATTCAATTCTTAGCGCTTGTTTTCCCTTTAATCATTCTATGTAGTTGCAATACCTTTACTGTGAAGATTTTGCTGATACCAAATCTTCTAAAAAAAGAAACAGCTCAATGGCAAGAAGTCAGTCACGAGAGAAATGATTTCGCGATTTTAAGTAAACAGTATTATGCAACTTGCCAAGTCTCATTAAATTGTTTTCATCATCATGAAATTCTTGAATATTGACGATTGATTTTGTTTTTGAGTTAGAAATTTTCAAGGTAAGAACAGAACTTGAGGTATGGTGCTTGCCAATGAACATCGATTAGTTTGTGTTGAGCCGGTTCGGACGTTTGAATGTAAGAAATTTTGAATCATTTTCTTTTCAACATAAAAAAGCGATCGATGTGTCGCTTATGTGACTGTACTCTACATTCATTCTTCATCTATTCACAGTCGAAAGTTTGTTGTGCCGTCAGCATACAAGTTTCAGGAATAACATGAAAAAACACTTCTTTCTTTATTCTTCCAATTTTTTTAATACAAGCTCGTTTTTTTGCGTAGGTGATTAAAATAATGGATTCTTTTTCTCTACGATAGACAATAGTAGCATTTAACTACGTAATATATGGTGAGCAAGCATTCGCTGCTACATATTGTAAGCGTTATTTAAAAAATGATGATGTTCATTACCACTGTTCTGTTCATTTTCGGTCTTCACTCTGTTCAATGCACAGTTAGCAATTCATTAGCAAATTGCAATATTGTGGCCGCCAAATCCAACAGTACCTGCAATGAAGTAGTAGTCACTAGCATAACCGCTACTACTGGTATTGCTGTAATATGTACATTTGGTTTCACTGCATCGACATGTCCAGATAATTATTTCTATGGCACCTGCATGTTTGTGCATAAATTATGTGTTACGTGTTCGGGAAGTTCAACTGTTCGCATTCGTGTTCAAACCAATGGTTTACCACTATTCTGTCTCAATACACCAGTTACCTTTGAGCGAATTGAACATTAATTTTGAAGTAGATTTCAACCCAGATGTGAGTATCAATTCACCACTATACACTCCGATAACGACATCTCAATTGTTTGTAACGTCAATAGTCAATCGTCTGGTCCATTTGCATCAAATCTTACAGCACTAGTGGCTATTTGAATATACTTGCCGGAGTTAGTGTGTATGGTGTAACACTTTTGAATGCCAATAGTGCCAATAATGTAGATCCATTTTATCCAGCTGGCGGTTTCTCAGCAGAGACTGTTGATGCCTGTTTAGGTCACCCGAGTCCAGTCACTAATGAGTACCATTATCATGCTGGATTCGGTTGTGCATTGGACCCTCCAAGTGGTGCCATCTTGTATTGTGCTGGCACTACTGCTTGCAGCACAAGTGTGGCCAATTATAGTATTGCAAAGTTTTCGAATCATCGTAATTTAACTGTAATCGGAATAGCCAAAGATGAACATATTATCTATGGACCATATGATTCTACTGACAATGAGCTAAGCATAAAAACGATATACCTACACACACTAGTGTTAATCATTTTCCAATCGTATGATTTTTCAGTCAAACTATATTTGTTTTTTTCTTTACGAAGACAGATATCCGAAGAGCTTTGATTTTATTTGACAAATCTTGACGTTAAGATTGCGGACATCGTGTACATTCACACTTAAGAAAAACGAATTTCTTATACGTTCATATCATTAAGAGTTATGACCAACATCTTATCATACTTGTCGAAATATCAACATGCAACTATCTGAATTATTTGAAATCGACTGGCATGCTAGAAATTCAGATCAGACACATTCATACAAACCAAGGTGATGCACTTCAAAAGTAATATAGTGTATACTACCTGTCTTCTTTTTAAAATCTCAGTCGTAGAATTCTTTGGTGATATTTTTGCTGATGGAATATATTTCCAACCTTTTAGGTAACAAGTGGCTTTGCTATTTGTAATGGTATGTTTAATGATTCGATTGGAAATTATGGTTATTTCGTTACGCGAACGTATCCATATGTAACAGGATGTTTTGGTCCTGGAAACTATCCGAATGCATCTGTTAATTGTTCAACTAATGCACCAAGTTCATATAGTAAATCAGTGTACGCTCTGAATCTAATTTCAACGACTACACTGATTACATCAACACTAAGTAAGAACGATTTTTATATGAAACTGTAATAGTAAATCAACCTTATGAGAAAGATTTCAGTTTTCTACGAGAGAGAGGACTTTACATTCCTCATATTGAATGACTGACTCAGTAGACAGCGTAACATGAAAAGATATTAAAAAAATCATATACATATGTATATTTGCAATATCACATTCTCACTTTCATTACAACTGAGATCTGTAATTTTTAATATGATCTCTTTTTTCTCGGATGAAAACAAGTTAACTGATTTTATACTTTTTCGTTTCATGCTTTTATGCTATCAACAAATTTCAGACCAAACTACACGAGCAAATAATTACTTTGGTTATCAGAATAGTAGTACGGTGCAAATTACATTGTCTTCGTCGGCTCACACTGCATGGCAGTCAACATCAAATTGTTCGGTACAACAATGCAACATAAGTTTGAATAATGACAACAACTGTCGTTCTTCATCAATCCCTTGTTACAACTATCTTTCATTCAATAGTACAAGTTATTGTGCACCTGGTATTTTATGTTCAATTTTACAGTCATGTTACAATGTTGCTTTGAGCTGTGGATCAAATGATTTTGTATGCATTGTTAATTCGTGTTGTACACCACAGCCCGTTTGTTTACCCATCTTATTCACCAGTTTTTGTCCACCAGGCAATGAAATACGTGAAATTTGCAAAGTCATTGCGAAGTGTTATGTTCCCCTTTTGGATTTTATTTTATTTTATGATATTATATATCAGGCAATGAGAACCTAGCGCAACATAACTATATCAAGAACTGATATGAATACGAGAAAAAAAGAAAAGAAAAAACAAATAGCTATAGGCCTCTAATATTATATAATAAATATGTCAGATTCTAACACAAAGCGATTACTTTCATACGTATTATAATGTTTAAAGTAACAGAATGAATAAAATGGAAACAAAATGTTATTGAGAATAAATAATAGTTGACATATTGATACCACATCGAAAATCGATCTGCAAAACGTTTTTGACCATTCTATAGATTCAATCTGGCTTGTATTTAGTTAGAAAGAAGCCTATCAATACAGATTTTAGCAAGTTCAAATCAATCAAATTAGTTTCATTTCTAGTAGTTATAAGACTGAAGAAAATTCTTTTTCAGTATAATGAGACTTTCAATCTCTAAAATTCTTTTGGTTCAATATGTCCGATGAAATCATAATTTTTGTTATGCATCTTTTTTTAAACAGTAAATACACATTCCTGTTTTCCATTTCGAACAGTATTATTTTATATAGCTGTCATACATTTTCAGCGAACGTATAACTTTTGAAACAGTGAACCTTAGATATAGTGTTAATTTTTGTTTTTATTAGAACTAACAGTCAGATACAATGCTGACTGGTTATTCTCATGGAGTCTTTCTTAATTTGACGATGATCAAAATTATTTTACGATCAAACTCTCCAACGGTAGAATTAGTGAATGAAAATATGTTCTTTTGAATCGCAAGATTATATCATGTGAGAAAATATAATAAGACGATTTGCTTTTATTCGATTTGGAAACAGAGCGATATGTCAGTAATCTTCATATGCATAGTAGATAAAATATATTCTAAGCATATCTACACACAAAATCAATGCTTGTTATTCATTGAATTGTTCTAATCAGTCATCATATCCTGAAATTCATCGAACATAGAATCTTAGAAGAATTATATATTACCATACAGAGGTACATGCTGCTTGTTTGTTTTATAATTGTACATCTTGAAATTTCAGTGTTCAACTTGTTTGTTTTACAGTATACTAGAGATCCTTTAGAATCTATATAACAGGAAAAAGAGAGCGATATAACTGTATTTCATACATAAAAGATTTTAAGAATGACCAAAGATGATATGTACATACACAGGCACATTGAAAAGCTATTCTGAAGATTTCTAAGACCCCACCTCTTTTCGCAATCGTGTATCGTCAGTTTCGCTATATTCAAGTTTAAATCAAAAAATAATTTATGATAGTTCCATAATCTGTAAAAACTTGAAATTTACATTTACTACAACAAGTTTTGTAAATATGTGCAAACTGCTGTAATAGAATGAGTGGAAATTTACTTTTCATCAAATCATGAGGTACATCTTGTTGCTAACTGATCGAGCTCGTAAATACAATGAAAACAAGCAGATTCATAAAGGTAACAACGTGAAATATTTAAATAGAACCCTTCGTAAATGATCAACTAAAGTAAAGGATTTGATACTACGATGATAATAACTGCTTGTAATTGATTTTATTATATGATCATGAATATCGAGAAATAACCTTAACAACTTCTATTCATTGTTTTCAGCATTAGAAAGTGTTATGAATTAGAATAGTTTTCAGTTCGAGTATAGTTCTAACTGATTATTTTAGGGCGGTTTAATACTGGCAGTATGATGAATGCAAGAACTTGGCATACAGCATCTGTACTAACAAATGGAACAGTGATAGTGACAGGTAGAAGTAATAGTTATAGTCTTCAAAGTAGTGCTGAGTTATACGATCCATCAACAGGATCTTGGACAACGACTAGTAGCATGAATAATCCCCGATTGTATCACACTGCAACAGTCTTAGCCAATGGGAAAGTGTTAGTTACTGGTGGATCAAATGGTAGTTCTCTGAATAGCGCTGAGTTATACGATCTACTCACAGGAACTTGGATCATGACTGGTAACATTAATGTTGCACGAGAACAGCATACAGCAACATTATTAACAAATAGAAACGTATTAGTTACTGGTGGATCTAATGGTAGTTTTGTTTTAAGTAGTACTGAGTTGCATGATCCATCGGCAGGACTTTGGACAGTTGCCAATAACATGAATAGTGGCCGATATCAACATGTAGCATCCGTATTAACAAATGGGCAAGTGTTAGCTACTGGTGGGTGGTATAATATATCTCTAGATAGTACTGAGCTGTATGATCGTTCAACAGGAACTTGGGCAATGGTTAGTAATATGAATCCTGCACGATATCGACATACGGGATCTATATTGGCAAGTGGGCAAGTATTGATTACTGGTGGCTGGGATGATAGTACTATTGTAAACAGTGCAGAATTGTTTTAAATGAGCCAGGGATGGCGTAGTGGTTCTATGCATCTGACTCTTAGTCAGATAGGAGATGGTTCGATTCCTTCCCCCGGCTCGGTGTCTTCGGAGTCAAGATATACGGTATCGGAAGAATAAACAAAAGGAAGAACAGCAATGCACGCCAACCGCGTCATCACTGCCTCGATTTCGATTTTCGTTCTATTCGTTTTCTCTTCCTTGTCATTCTTTCTCTGTTTGTTATCGTAGTCCTATCTGTTGACTTGTTTCGTAAGCGTCCGCAAAAAATTGTACAAAAATCACAAAAAAATGTATGATGTCACAAATAAAATTCAGCGTAATTAAAAAAAATTGTTTTAAATTATTTTCACATATAAATTAAGAATGATTTGTTTGATTTCTATTCATATGAGTAAATTCGGCTGCAAATAGGGTTTTTTGAAGGAAAAAACTATCGAGTTCAAGTGATATTGAATGTTTTTATGCGAAATCTTAGTTAAATCAACATGAAATACAGTTTTCTAAATAAAATTTTCAGCTAATATATAATGCTTGTTGGATTAAAAAGGGATCTAAAAGAGGTATGTATGAAAAGAAAAATAGTAAAACTACAAATTCATACGCTGAAAGTTACTCAAATCCAAATAAAGTAAGACTTCTGATACATTAATCGATAAAAGAGAAAACGTCTACAGCTTAATTATATGAAAATTAATGGAACAAATTCATAAGGAGAGTCATTGTTAGTACTGTTGCTTTGATATAGAATAGACTCCAGAGCTGGGCAAGTACAGACTTTCTCGAGTACGAGTACCAATACTAATTATTGTATCAGTAAGACTAAAAGCTTCCAAACTAGTTTGCAAAAAATGTACACTTAATCAGGGGTGTCGCAAACAACTGAATACTGGGGGATGGAGGGGGGGCCGTAACTTATAAAATCCTGTTTTTCTAAAATTTTGTAGGGAGCGTAACCAATGTTACTAGATCTTCCGGATTCTGAAAGTTTTTTTGACTTTTCCTGATTTTTCCATTTTTTTCTGGATTTTTTTCGTAAATTTTTTGCCTTTTTTGAGGATTTTTTTTTGAATATTTTTTGAATTTTTCGGATTTTTTTCTGAATTTTTTCTGGATTTTTCGGATTCTTCTCTCAATTTTTCTAATTTTAAGATTTAAATTCCGGATTTTCGAGTTTAACACCTGGCAACATTGTAAGTAGCTTAGCAAATCGAACTTGATGTAGTATAGGTTTCATTTTGTGAAACACAATGCAAGACAATTTTTTGAATACTGGAGAGTTGCTCATATCTCCATCCTCCCGCTGTCGTGGTACCCCTGGGCTTAATGCTCTGCAACGACTAAATATATTAATATGAAACGAAGAAAGACAGTAGACTGCCCTATGGCGATTACTACATGACTATATGTTGTACAAATCTTCAAACATATTTGCACTGATCCACAAGAGAAGGTATTAGTGATGTGCTTGTTTGTTCAACTAACTTCGTTGAAAAATACAAAGAGATATTCTTGTCATAAAAGATGCTTTATCTCAAATTCGAAAAATAAAATTTCCAAGCACGAGTACGAGTACGAGTACTAGCAAAATCGTACTCGAGTACGAGTACTTCGAGTATTTTGCCCACCTCTGGAGTAGACTTGTATAAACATTGATGTTAAAACTGACGGTATGGGGTAAATCCATTGCATGAGATACATCATCAGTCTAGAAATAAAATAAGAGCTTGCGTTGCAATTGTAATCGTTCAAGATTCTATTAGTCTATGATACTATGAGAAAAAATATTTTCTTTTCTTTCTTTGGACGACGACTCATTAAAATCGAAACAAATGCATAATATAATGTGAATGAACAGTAATATTGCAATTCTTCTGATTCTGTAGTATCTACAGGCAGTTCAAGAGACCGATTTCAAGAACTCTGAATTTGGCGAGCCTTATGTTCAGAGTTGCAACTAGCGATAGTTGTAAGTATCGGACTTTCCGAGGTTGTCTACAGATATAGTACCCTATACTTTAGGGCAGTCGGTAGGTGAAGTATTTCTTCTTCTGAATGAAAAAAAAATTGATTTACATAGGTGATGCAACGGTAATAGTGAATCATCATCTTTCTTACTTTCATAACATATATGCAACAGAAACGCCACTGAATCTTCACCAGAAGACAGTATACTATGTGTATTATTAGATTCAATGACCATGGAACACCTTTTTTTTAAAATTCTATTCAGATCCTAACGAGTATTCAATTGAGAAGATGAGATGCTTTTCAATAAAAACCCCCAATAAAATACTATTCATATCGTTTCGATCTTAGTATGAGTATGAATATTTAATAAAGAAACGATTACATTATATTTATTGTTGTTCTATCAACGTTAATTTTAACAGGGACGTTTTCTAATATGTAGAAGGGTCTAAGAAAAAATTTCGAATTATATCTCTCAGCATATGCCTATTTAGTGACCTATTCAACGCAATACTTTTCATTTGTATTCATAATTATGTAAACAAACACATAGTATTCTCTTTCAAGGTATCTCTTCCTGAATGTATGCCTGGTTTCATTATTACAGATAACATTTCGCATGACTATTCTGCTGATGTAAATGAAATATCATTTTTTGTGTACTCAAAAAGTGAGTACATTCTAGAATCGGTCAGTGTCCATCCGACCGTAGGCACGATAACTTTCGAAAGGAGAGTCAGATCGTGATGAAATTTTCCACACAATTCAATCTCATGAATATCTCGGTCAAGTTCGAAGATGAGAAGGATCCCTCAAGAAATGGTTGAGTTATCGAAAAAATTGTCATTTTTGATCAGACCATCCCTGAGGAGGTGTACAGGGATTTTTTCAAAAAACAAATTTTTCTCAGAATTATTCACAACCTTTATATATCGACTCAGTTTTTAACGCTAATTCCGAATCTGATATTAGTTTTGAACTAAACCGTAGCTTTCTAACAAAACATCGCCTGAAAATGCACAAAAACTGCGTCCAGAAATCAAATTGCCTAGTTTCTCATGATAATTTTGGTGTTCAGACATTCCAGAATGACTCATATATCCCATGCACTTTTTGCAGTACACATAACTCTCGGATGAAATCCGAAGTTTCCACATTTTTTAATGATAAAATTAATTATATCAGATAAAATATTTTTTGAACTAGAATAAACTAGCAGATAAAGAAAGCAAAACAACATTCAGAATTCCTTCGAAATACTTTGATGATAATCAAGAACGTCTCTGGTTACTCGTTATCAAATGTAGAAAACAAATCAAAGCGTAATGTGCATTAATCACATTGATATTTTTCTTGGATTTATATGAACTGTCATGCAATACGAAAGAGTCCAAAAACTGAATAAACATAACAATAGATTCAAGATGGGAGTCTTGGCAATCAATGATGTCTTTTTTCTATCGCAAAAAAGAATGTTTTGGTTCTAGTACCTTCTTCGAAACAGAAACTTTGGAAAAGGGGGGTGAAACAGCTTAAATCCGGTTCTCGCTTAGTTATGCAATTATGAGAATTTTTCAAATGTACATCTCACTTTTCAACAAATATTTTCCCATTGAGCACTCTTGAGACTATTGCGTCACAAAATAACAAATATTTCTAGATAGTGTTACTAAGTACAGCAAAGAAAGCTGACAACAAAACTTCACACTAAACGATGTATATACAGTTTTGCCATCTAGCTAGTTCTTAGCATAGAATGTGTTCATCAACCAAGCGTATGTGCATAATAACAAGGCCTTCAAATAAGATATTACATTCTAGCATAATGGATTATCGTTTTCTAATATTTTCATGCATGTCCATGAAAGATCTTGCTATGACAGTTAGAATAATTTTACATCATATGAATTTAATGACATAATAATTCTTCTTTTTCTGCTCGAGAGAAAAAGAGAATCAGTTGATTATTGAAATACAAATAGATGAAGAATTAATTCATTCTAATTAATGAAGAAAAAAATGCACACATTATTGAAGACAGCACGAGATTATAGAGATATACATAATATGTATCACAGAATGTATAGTGTGTTTGTTGGTTGAATTTACGTTGGCTGAAATTGAGCAAGGCGATTTTGAAATGCTACTTTACGACGAACTTTGTCTTCTTCGATTCGACGTCGTTGTTCTTGTTCTTCGCGAATTTCTCGTTGAAATTTATCTTGTTCTTTAATCGCAGCAACCTAAATTTTGCAAAAAAAGAACAAAATGGAAAAAGAAAACACATGTAGAACTATTTCAAATCAAATGGTAATGTTTACTTTAGCTTCAAAAAAATTCTTTGCACCGCCAACACCTTCTTTTGATACATCGATTTCTACAAGCATTGAATAAAGTTGTTGTAAAACCGATGCAATAGATGACTTTTCATTTTCAATTTCCGTATTGTCTGACATTGCTTTTCGAAAGATAAGTAAAAACTAAATACAGAAATTAATGAAAGCAATGACTTTTTGTTTCAATAATATAATATATTTACTTCTCGAAATGATATTTTTCCATCTTGATCTTCATCAACTTGTTTGATCATTTCTTTTAAAGCTAAATGAGTTTGTGGCATACCAAGTTTTTCCATCATTACCTTTAATTCATTAAAATTAAGTGATTTATCTTTATCTGTATCATATCTTCCAAAAGAAAAGAAAAACAACATATACATATATAGACTGTGAATTTAATTTTGTATAGAAATCTTACTTATCAAACGTTTGCATTAAACTTTGTATTTGTTTACGTGTAAATTCAGTATATTCTGTATAAGGATTAAATACTACAGGTCGATGATATTCGCAACTTGCTGATGAAGATGATAATGGTGAATCAGACTCATCATTCATACCTGTGCCATAACTATTACCATTAATTGAAGATGTTTCCGACGATGAATCAACTGATTCAATACGACGTATACGTTGACTAAGTTTTTGTGCTAAATCAGCATCCATGAAAGAATTATTTCTAAAATGTTAATTGTTGTTATTTTCAAAGAATTTACTAAAAAAAATAATGATGCATATGATAGTTTCTAAGAATGTTGTGTCATACATAAGCTCTCAATGTAGTGTGGAGGATTATCTATCTGTTTAGTAGAAAAGAAAAGAAGAAAAAAAAAGAGAAGAAAATGTCGATCGAGACGGCGCTACTTTGTATAACACGTTGTAGGAGGGAAGAAAAAGAGCGAAAATGATCTTCTATCCTTTTATCCTTTCGTCTGACATCGATGAGCCATCGTTCATTATATTTTCATACAAGGTTACGGCAAGTAATGATGTATGTAGTTTGCCAAAAGACAACACAATTCAATAATTATTGATTTTGACTATCAAATAAAAAATGATAAACGTGTCTCAACACCTACACATAGATACATACATACATACATGCACGCATGCATGCATACATACACATTTTTTTATTGTCTTTTGTTCTTCAATCAGACGACATGTACACATTTAAAGTGTAAAAGGCAAAAGAAGTAAAGTGCAAGCATGTTTTCGTACATGAAACGATGTGATTACATCATAATATAATACATACCAACTAATAGGTTAGTATATAAGTTTATGTTCTCGTCTTCTTATTTCCTAATAAGAAATGGCAATATCATTATGTCGGTGATGATCGCGTAGAAACAGAAAGAGAGAGAGAGCGAGCGAGCAGGCGAGAAGAAAATAAATGAATGTGGAAGCAGAACATTGACCTTGTTGTTCATCTTTGACATCTGCCCATACACAAATGTATATAAGCAACTAATGCCGATGTTCTCATCTGCTTCAAAAGAGAAAGGCATTCACAAAATGTTGCTGATGGGTGAAACAATCATCAGCAAACTATTAACATGCATGGCAGCTGCTACCCATGCATAATGATTGATCCGTAGTGAAGCCTATCGTTTTTTTTTTCTTCTTCTTTCTTTTACAATAACACCAATTATCGTGCATCGAGAAGATCACGTTATGAAATGTTTTTATAACGATACACCTCCGGTTGTTATTTTGCCGATGATAAAATTCGAATAAATATACCAATACAACTCACATTTACTCAATCAAAAGCAAGATCAGTCAATATTGATTGAAGTTGACTCGAGAAGTAGCCAATTAGTTTGTATTTCTTACTTCCTGTTTTGTCTCTTCTTTCTCACACTTCATAAAGTACACAATCGATTTATATTTCATGTTGCAAAGATCGATTGTTACAACTAGTACTTACGAACATCAAAAGAAAATTTGCAATATATGTTTGCTGTTGTAATGTAGTATTAAACGAAGTAGATGAACTGCATATAATAGAAGCAACACGGACGCATGCGCGTACAATTTAAAGAAGAAAAAAAGAGTTGATATATTCTCAGTGGAAATATATATGTACAGACGCATGTCTCTTGCGATATAACGATTTTTCTAATGATTCACTAGTGAATTTGACTTCGGCCAGAGTTTGATCGAATCCATCGTATTAATCACATCATAGACTAATGTTGTCAAATTGATTAATATCGGTTTGACTCCGCTGTATCACACATGACCATGAATACATATTGAATGATGAGATTGTGGCAGATAAGTTAGCTATCGTTTATATATTGGATAAGAGATAACATAACAATGTTGTCAATGATTGATTGTCAACGAAGCTCATTCTTTTTATTTCCAAAGTTCTAAATTTGTTTCAGTTGAAACGGTGGATTTTTTTTTTATCTAATATTTGATGATATTAAAAAAGTCTATGAAATATTTATTGATTCTGCACTAAGTTTCAAGTTCACTCGAGTGGTTTGTTTCTCTTTTAAATAATTTACGAATGATTTCTTTAGTGAATTCATATGATGAAAAATGACGATACTCCATAGGCAGAGTTAACTTGAATGATGAATTTTTGTAAGGTGATAAATTTCATACTGTTATATTTTATTCTCTATTCGATTATTTCAAATTGATGACGACGAAAATTATTGATTAAAACAATATAATGAATGATATTGATCAGGTTATCAATAATCTTTTCAGTTGAGATTGGCAAAATTGTACAGACTCAAATAAGCTATGAATCCTTTGAAAAGAGTCTCTATCTTAAGTCTGTTGTTGCCAAAATATTCTATAATTTCACGATATTTTTTCAAAATAAACTTTGTGACTTCTTGTAGCAACAGTTCTCGGTAAGTGTAGTTTAATTTGAATATTTCGTACTGTCTCACTATGCTTATTTCTAAGATACGATCAGTGATGATAGAGTTTATTTTGCATCGACTATATGACCGAATAGATTTGATATTCTTATTTTACTTTTGTGGTGACTGTTTTAATGCAGACTTTCATCTTGTAAGCAATATCGGTGCAGCAATAAGCTAAGAATGTCAAGTTTTGCCAGACGATTAATAGCTCATATCAATATACATGATCATAGACGAAACTAATGGAATGCTCTGTTCATAAACGTTGCTACCAATTGAAACTTTGAATTGTCATAGGCAAACTAGTTTGGCTCTCACAAGTTGCGTTCTTTAAGGGCAATCGTTTTTTTTTTTGTAAAATACAGTTTGTTCTATTTATATAAAGAGCAAAAAAAAAGTATAAATAAGTATGTATTTGTAGCAGACAGGAACAAATAAAATTAGCGTGTATTGGAAATACAAAAGAAGAAAAAGAAAAAAACGAAAAGAAAAACATAGTCAAATTATGGACGGGAGAAATATGATTTATCGATATTTTTCGTTATCAATTCAAACGATATTGAGTCCACTTAGGTTCTAGACACAAAAAAACATGATTATTACATAGAATCTTTATGTGTTAGTTTATTTTATGAATTAAATCCATTAAATTGAATCAAGTGATTTAAGCCGAAACAGATTCCGGGATAACACACCGATTCAACTAATAAGGTCTTTATTATTAGTCGGGAGATAGGTTAGTCCATTGGAATTTTTCTACATTCAATAGGGTATTCTATGATTTAATCTCATAGAAAGGAGTTGTTGGGGAGCTGGAATTTACGGCAAATTTATAATGCTTATACCGCTATACCGTTAGTGTTATAATAGTATAGTGGTAAATCGGTTTAGTGGTATGCAGATGTCACATCTCTCTTACAGAGAGAGAGAGAAGAGAGATAGAGAAACGTAGAAGAGAGAAGAGAAAAACTCTGCCCCTCATCCATACGTTGTCTCTCTCTCTCTCTCTCTTCCCTCACCATTATCCAGTTGAACGTGTAGATAACCATTTTGCCACAAATTCATTTTGTTTTAAAGAAAGTGAATTTGCCGCAGATTCAAATTCCCCATCATATGGGTTTTCATGGATAAAAGTTAGTCAAAATTTTTTTTGTTAATTAGCATTAATGATTCACAAATACCTCTTACTCTCCGCTAAATGAGTTATAGCAGTTTGAATAGCCTGATACCAATTTTCAGCTACTTCTTTGCTCGCTGCATATAACTAAATAGAGAGATATATTTTTATATAAAAAAAGAATTAAATTTATTCTATGATTAATTGGTGATATAATTCGATAAAAATTTTATCTGAGATCTGCATCAATCGAAGGATTGACTAATATATGCATGAATCAGACTACAACACATATTTGAAATAATCATTTTGTTGCTTGATTTTCAAAATAAAGCAATGTCTTTTGAAATAATCATTCATTGAAAAATAATGCAAAACACATCTGATTTACCCAGGTCGAACAGTACGGTCCGTATACGGCCGTTGACGGTTACTTTACGATTATTTTCCGGGTAACAGTTCGGCGTAATATCTGGCGCAGTAATACGGACCGTATGATCATGAGAGTACGGAGCACAAACAGCAGCAAACCATCAAAATTCAGTGCCGTTTACGGTGCCGTATCACTGTGCCAGGTATTACGGGCAAATACGGCCTATTTACTGCCGTAAATATACCGTTTTGACATCGTTTACCGTCGATAAACAGACCGTAAACGAGTCTGTTTTGATCAACCTGGGTAGTTATGTTAGTTGATATCAAATAAATTGACTTTAAAATCAATATGTCACATGCGAAGCAAATTTGTTAAAGGAATTATTAATGAGGCTATGTGTTGACTAGCATCGATTACATCTGAGACTCTCAAATATTAATCTAACTAACGTCGTATTTTTTTACATCAAACTCGCAGTAACAACTAATATCCACCTACTATTTCTCTGGAGTCCTGCGAAAATTTCTCCGGACAACTCATTTGTTCAACACGATGCTGTTTCATGAGATACATGACAAAAGCTAATTGTTGGAATGCTATCGAAAGAGCTGGCAAATCTTTTCATTTACTCAATTTTATTCTCAAGTAGATTTTTACTACTTCGATACATCTTTATTTACGTTTGAATCAATTATATGAAGAATCTGAAGGATTTACATTATTCACTTGAATATTGCAATCGTATCGTTTTGTCAAACATTCTTTCTAATTATTGGGTTTAAAATAGCTTACATGATACTGTTTGGCTTGTTTGTTTACCGGCGTCCAATTCAATTCAAGAGTTGACCCATGTTTTGGATCTTCAATCATACGTATTTTCGCACCTATATAATTATAAACTGTTCATAAACAATATTTAGATTTTGTTTTGTTTACCTTTAAGATTTATTGCTTTATATGCAGCTCTATCATAATCATGCTTATGCATTAAAAGCGCATCATTTGATAAAACAAAATAATAATTTTCAATTCGTTTAAAAATTGAATCTATTTAGAAACCGAAATAAGTTTTGTTACTTGGAATGAAAATTTTATTTTTACCTCGATTTTGTTTTCGAAGCCATCCTTTAGCAACATTTTCATATTGTGAAGCTGGATGAGGTGCTTCTTTTGGTGTAAAATAGATCGAATCTTGATCATTATTTCGATTCAATTGTGGATTCAAATCCAATGAAATTGCTTTCGTATTCGATTTTAATCCAGCGTCGGTTAGAGATCTTTGAGGTAATACTTCCAAGCTTCGATGTCCATTAGGATTTATAACAGGGAACGCATAAGGATTGCTCGGTCTGATATTATTCGTAATATCATGCATTGATCCTGCAGCAGATGATGTTGATGGTGACGCTGATCGATTTGATTCCATAGGAGATGTCATTATTCGGTCGAGTCGTTCATCACTATGTGGTATACTGGTTGTTGTGTCAGGTTGACCCATTGAACTTCGCTCAGTATATTGTTTCGAATCATTAGGATGAACATTGTAATATGCCGATGTTGGATCAGTTGTATCGCTTGTGTTTGATTGATGAATTATATCATGAAGACGATTAGCTGCAGCTGGTTTTTCTGTTAGAGGTACACATGCAGCTAATATATTAGCCATCGGTATATTTGAAACATCAGACGCACGAAAATGTGAATCCACTAGATCATCTATGAAAGGCAAGGACTTGAAAACGAGTTTCTACATAGATCAAAAAAATTACTTTTAACAAGTCTAGCAATAATTGATTCATTGTCATTATTAGATATTTGACCATAATTGTCAGCTCGTGGAGCGGGAACCTGGTAAATGTAAAAACAAAATTGAAATTATATTTTTTTGTTAAATGCGTATTTTATTTCAATGTAATATCAAAATGGGAGCTAGTTACTTCGTTTTCGATCCAAAGCAGTATGGCTAGATTAAACGAGACTAAACTATTTACTTAGCTTATTCGTTTACATCTTCGGTTTAAGAAGGATTAATATCGTGAAGACATGTTGTTCTAAAGTGTAATATTATCATAGTTGCGTTATTGTATCTATCAACTACAAGTTAAATAAGAAATTATCAAAGCTCACAAACGATTGAGTCAAACTGTGTTGACTCAATGTGTAGAAAATTTTCAGATAGAAAAACTCATCGATCACATTTTGAATAAGGGAACAACAATGGTAGACTTCCGAGATAGATCTCACTTCAACATGTATTTCTTCCTAAGCAATAAGCATTCAACGGTCTGATAAATTCTTTTGCAATACTGAATCATCATGAATAGATTCGGCTACCATTAAAAAGCAAAACAATCTATAGTAGAAATAGTTTACTGGATGATCAACTAACTAGGATTGGTCCTAAGCTCGGAAACCGAAAAACAAAATTTGAATATTCACGAATCACTAAATAAAATGAAAAAAAATGATTCATATCTTCGTAAGTCTCGATTCTGTTGTAAAACGTTTCGCACTTGATCAAGTCGTCTGAGTATTAGACAAAATCAACTACTGTAGAATGATCATGGCTAATTTTCTTTGTTTGCAAACCTTTTTGCTCGATCGTCTGTTATTGTCTGTAACGACTGATGAACTATTTGATTGCTTTCTATTCGGTGAATTATTGTAATATATTTCTTCAATATCGCGTGCGTTCGCATTTTTATCTAAAAACAAAACAAAACAAATCACACATGGAATTCAAGTTTCACTATTTCTACTTGTCGATTTACCTATTACTTTTGCTATAGGAATTGTTTTGTCGTCTTGTTCACGCTGTTCATGAATTGACAGTCGATCTCGAAAATGATCACGTTCTGTTTCGATTTTCGATATTTTAGCTTTCAAACGTTCAATGACACTATCTTGCTCTCGGATAATAAATGTTTGTTGATTAATCATATGTTCTAAATTCTTTAGTTTTGTTTCTAATTTGTCACTTAATTTTTGTGTATCAGTTTCTAATTGTTGTCCTAATTTTTGAACTAAATCTGTTAATTTTTTTTCCATCACTTTATTATCATTCTTGGTTTCTTGTTGGTGGTTCGATTGAACCATAACAATACCTGAATCACTGCCAACATTTGAATAACGATCATTAAATTGTTGTTGTTGGTGGTGGTGGTGGTGGTGATGTTGGCATGGATGTTTAAATGTTGATGAATCATCATCGCGAAGTTGAGACAAATAGGGCGTTGAATAATGAAGACTACTTTTATGGCTATTCTGTTGTTGTTGTTGATGGCGAGGCAGTGTATCATTTACACTTAAATTCGTAGTACTAATAAAATGTTGCTGACGATTGTAAACTGGTAAAATTTCAGTGGTAGAACTTGTAGCAGATGTTACATTATTTACTGGAGATATAACAGCATGAGATTTTGTTGATTCATAGTCATTGTTTGTATAATGTAAACTACCACCATAACGAGATGATGACAATTGATGATCAGAATCAGCTGCTAAAGAATCTAAATTGAAAAAAACGATTGTAGTTAGGTAAACAAATAGACGACATTTTGTAAGAAATGATAGGTTAAAGTGTAATTAACTATTGGTTAACATTTGACAGAGATTTCTAAAATTCGAAGACTATACAAACGAACGAGAAAAGTCTCATCAGAACAAAATCAATTAATCTAATCTTTTTATTTTTTTTAAATAGATTAAACCATAAAACATTATTGAAAATGTTTTCATCTACTGAATTCATAAAAAAAGAGTTTGATGAAATTTACAATACCCTCTTATGATATCAAATATTCAACCCGATGAAAATATTTGATTGTGAAACTTTTATAATCGTTTTCAAGTACTTTTATCAAAATGAATTTCAAGAATGCAAAGTTTTATAAGTCTTCGACAGTAATAGATTGTAAAATTTGGTTTAGTATGGGAGGAGGGGGGGGGGGCAAGATAAGTTTCAATTTTCAATCCATTGTTTGCTCATTTTCATAGAGTCATGTTATTTTTGTCGACGTTTGTATTTAAGTATTACACTTAAATACAATCCCTAAAGTATATATTGTCTTACGTGATGAAGTCTAGTATATGTTCTTATTTATCAAATTAAGACAACAAAAATATTTAACTTATTTATCTGGATTTCATCTGCTAATTCTAAACACTAATGGTATTCTCTCTAATATCTATACTTTGATAAACATATGTATTAGTGTCGATCGTCGTTGGATCACTTCTCAGTGCAGCATATTCTTTCAGTGGTGTATATTGATAAGTAGCTTGAAACATTTCTGTTGTTGTGTTTTCGTCGTCGCTTCCTATACGATTTTTTTGTTCTTGATGTTGGTAATTTGTCTTACTATCATCGGTATATTGACCTGTGTATATAAAAAGACAAATACTAAATGTATGATAATAGAGGAATAAGACCAAATAACAGAAGCAGATAAGTGATAAAGAATATGCATATGCAAGCTGTGGACGAAGAAGAGAAAAGAAATGACTGAATGAAAAAAGGGAACATATTTGAAAAGGATTTATATTTGTTCATATGTATTAATCACGTCCATGATGCGATCATAGCCATGCATGCGCATGAACTTCAATACGGTTTTTTTCTTCTTTTTCTTCTTCTTCTTCTTATAGCTGGTGTAAGTAATATCCCCTATGGGTTAAATCATGAAACTTTCTATAGACTAACATAAGAGAGGAAAGTTAGTCAATAAACGTAGTTGAAAAATCTTTACTGATTCAATGATTCTATAGATTTAATGTCCAGAAGAATATGAAATCATTTTTTACTCATCGCTTATAGGGATTCTTTTTTTTTTGCTCCGTTGAATTTTAATCTTGAAGTAAAATTCAACATTAACAAATAAGCATACTAATTGTAGAGATATCTTCAAGGTAGCGTTAGTTCTGGTTTTAGTTTTTTTCTCTTTCTTTTACCATTCATTTGTGATAACAAATGTTCATTATATCCATTTAGTTGAGACATTGAATTTAATGGTAGTTCTTGTTCGTTTCCGTCAAAATATCGTATAGTAGTAACAACAGTCGTATCGTTTGTTGGTATTGTATTTGATTTCGATGATGTACTTACAGATTCTCTATAATTTGCTTCTAATGAATCAGCTGATTTTGTTTTTAGACCATCATTCGAGAATCGATTAGAAGGAATGGCGGTGGTTGTTGTTGATATTCCATCATGATTGCATTGATCACATAGGAAATGCGCATTGTCACCATAGATAGAGACCGTTTCAGGTCTCACACAACGCCAATGATACGCACCGCGACATAGATGACCTTAGTAAATAAAGAAAATAATGTGTAAATACATCTAGATTAAAAAGCTAATATTATTAATCATGAAAATAAATACTCACAAACAAGAATTTCTTCAAATAAATATAGTTGACGCTTGCAGATATTACATGTCGACTGTGCTGTTGACAATTTCGGTGATGAAAAACCAAATGAATTATTTGTCAAAGAATTTTTCGTTGTTGTCGTCATGATTGAATTTTTTCTATTCAAAGGTTGTGATATCAATGAAGACGATGGAGGTAAATCTGGGGATATTAAACCTGAATCATTACGATAAAAAAAAAAGAATTATGTATCAATTTTTTTTCAAGTAAAGAGAAACTAAACGATAGACAAGAACATACAAACTTTTTTCACCTCGATTTTTTTTTGTATTTTTCTATACTTTCACAGATTCTCATTTAATACGAAAACCTACACGGACTTGTCAAAAAAAGTATAAACGTACAAACTTACACCATAAGATGACTTACATCAGATACTAACAAGCGTAGTTGACAATGTTAGTAGCGAACTAGACCGCATCTCTTCATCAATGAAAGCAAGAAATCCTTTATTTTTCAGTAGATTTTTCTAGTTTTTCTCTCTCTCCCTTATCAGCAATCATCTCAATTCAGTTAATCATCAATAGTATCACTTTTACGACTTCTTTATACCATTAACGGTAAACATTTTTATAAGTGGAACACTAGGTGCGTTTCGCTTTTCTACACAACCGACGAGACTATTTCAAATATCAATATTGCATACCTTTCAATGTATGCGTATTTGACGTTCGGTGGCAATCACACGAACATTATAGCGTTGACTATTTTGTCACAAATTATAATCGACAATCATAAATGTGTACACATGCATTTTTCGCTTTTCTCATATAAGAATTAGAAGTAAAAATAAACCTGACTTCTCTCTTTCGTCTTCTTTTCGCCCATTTAACGGCATCATTCGTAGAGTTTTTTTCGTTTTCAAAGAGCCTTGTGTTGCTCTTTCAATCGAGTGTTTTTGTTTCTCAATCAACACTGATTATTACTTTGCTCTTCTACTCCCTTTAGTTGGTTTTTTTTCTTCTTTCTGAAATGAACACAAATCAGGCATTAATATGTGCACATGTATTTATATGCATACTCATAATAGAATTCTAATATGCGATCAAACGTGTGCATACGTACGTGGATGTCTTTTCTCTGTCTATGTGATAAGAAGCTCTTGACTGTATTAAAAGAAACTACGAGAGAGAGAGAGAGAGAGAAAGAGGAAGAGAATATTTACGATACTCACAGTCATCATCGTCATCATCGTCATCATCATCATCATATTCATCATCCCATCATCTAATATTATGGATGAAAGAAAAAAGCAAAGAGCGTTTAATATTTAATGCTCCAAATTCTTTTAATTCTGATTTTTCTTTCTCGTTTTTTCTTAAATGAGCATTTTCTTTTGAATTAAATGTATGAGAACAAAAAGAAGAACATGTACTGTCATTACTATTATTATTCTTTGTACTGGTTCATGAGTTCACATTAGAAATAATAACGACAATAAGGTAGTATTTATTATTTGAAAGAAAGGTAAGCAACTATATTGGAACCAAGACTAAATGCACTGTATTATAAAAAAAAGAGTATTGAATGGCACTCATGCGCTTTTCATTCTTCGGTATGACGACCACCTGTTGTCACTCGACATTCCTGTATTAAAACTACCGTTGCAACAGAATGAAGGCCTCTGTCTTTCTCTTTTTTTTCTCTTTGTTTGTCAATAATGAAACAGACGTACGCATAAATGCACACATATACATATACAGAATAAAGAATAATAAAAGAGCTAAAGAAAAAAAAACTTATATCAATAAATATTCAACTTATAATGGCCTTCCTTGTCAAAGAACGGTAAGCATCTACTCACCTTGAATGATAATCCATAGACAGTTGTTTGATTCTCTCCTAAGTGACAAATTTAACAATAGATTTGAAACAATACACTTCTTCGACAAAATTAGTATGCTCAAATCTACGTCTTATATTCGCTTCGTATAACAAGCATTAAAACTCATTGGAATAGTGATATAATATTTGCTCTGTTTTTTCTTGTTACATTTTATTCGAAATAGAATTTCTTTTATAAATGATCGTATGAGTTCAATTACAGTCATTTCTTTTAGGATTTCATGTAGTTAAAATGATGCTTGTCGTATATTAACAGCTTGCACACTATGAAAAACAAGAAGTATACAAAGCTAAATACAGACGAAATCGAAAACTAAATGATAAAGTAGGTTTCTCGATTTCATTTTGTTGTGACTTGCATGAAAAGTCGGAGCATTCTCATCCGGTAAAAGAATCAGTTTTATTGTTACGTCTAGTCCTTTTCTACTGGTGCATTTTGTTGCTTCAAGATACATTTCGAATCGTACGGTCATTGATACTTCAGTTGTATTTACGCCTATAGGAGTATTATTTATTGCATTAAGTAAATAAGGAACAGAATTGGTTATAGTAGAAAAATTTCTACATTTATATTTTCAACGGACCCTTCAAATACAGAATGAAACAAACCGAAAGCTGTAAAACTTATCGGCCAAGAATAAGCAATGCGTACTTGAATAATCCTAGATTTCATTGTCAAACAATATCTCTATCGTAGAGAAAGTTATCACTGATTTTTAGCTTGAAATAGAATCGATGATTGATTTCGAATGCCTGTGAATTTGGACACAAGGAGCACAGTAATGTTTTTATTGTTTCATGGAATCTGTGACATGCAGTAGTAATTACTTTAAAAAAAACAACTGTAACGCTTTTCTACATATCTACGCATATATATATATTGGCATTGAGATTCTCTAGTAACTTGCAGTGTTATCGTTCAACTGAAAGTCTTAGTAGTTCATATTGATGTTTAATAATACGTCAGATTACAAAGTGAAACAAGTTTACATGTACAGAACTATCATGACTATGAATAAAGAAAATAGTTTGACTAATACTGACATAATATTTGCGTATGTTTCAATATTATTCTCTAGTTGCTCTGTCAAGAGTGAAATAAAGATGAAGAAAGAAGCTGTGATAAACTAAATGCTACGCATAAACAACTGAATTTGAAGAAATCATAGTCGCTGGATGTCACAATTTAGTGCGGTTTATGAAAGAAAACCATTAAAAATCTACAAAATGCGTTTTATTCATCGGTGGTAACGAAACTTGATGATTTGCTAACATTTTCTAAATTGTTTAAGAGTATTGACAAAAGAACAACCAAAATAATTATAAAAATAACATTGAGGTGGCATCGACTACGTATTTTTTTCTCTCACATCAAGGTCTGAATAGAATAAATTAAAAGAAAAAAACAACCGCAAAATTCATGATTCACACACCCTTTTAAATCTTTACAAATAAAAACGAACGGCGATTCATATGCAAAGACGAATAATAAATGATGGCATGTGTTTAGCAAAACAGTAAATTGAGAGAGCGAGAGCGACAGATAGTATTCAATATGTAAGAAAATCTGAATGTCAATGAAGAAATTAACAAATATTACCAAACAGTCCTTGTAGAAGTATAAGTGACTATTTTTTTCTCTTTGTAAACAAATAATATGTTAAGTGGTCGTTGGATTTAATCTGAATCTTGTTTCGAAAATTGCTCCTGGTAATCATAAAATGTTATTTTGAGTAGTGAAATAATAATGAGCAAGATTTGTTCCTCGATTTTGTGTTTGAATAGAAAAGAGAGTGTTGATTCGTCTTTTCGTAAATATAAAGCAGTTAAAAAAAAACTTACGTAGTTTTTATGGGTTAAAAGCATCTAGCATATTACAAAGTCACTCGATTTGATAAAATTTGAACGTATTACAAGCTATACTATATGGCAAAAGTTAATTTGTATTTGAACTAAAGCTGTGAGAAATTATTTTTAATAACGCGCAATCTTAGCTAAATTTTTAGCCCATCATTCTGCTTTTTGAACACCATTAAATGAATTGTTCATATGGCTCTATTGATAGAAGAAGGAGTTTATGCGTATAACCAGTTCTTACTTGTAGTAACTGTTTTAGTTCACTATTCATACTGAGTATTTTTTTTATGCGAATTAATATATTCCAATAAGTTGTCTCGTATAGCTTGTTAATCACAAAGATCATGGTTTTATGCACTCGAGTCTATCGAGAGAGAAAAATAATGACTTTATATTATTTTGAAATTCTTAAATAAGTAATCAACTGTGATTGGTTGATGGCACATCAGTTTTATCTGTGCCATTGAATGCAACGCAGTGTATGACACACTACATAATTATCGCATGATATACTTTTGAGTTGTAACGATTGTGTTTGTTCTCTATCAGTACGTTGAGCGATGTTAATCAATTAGATAAAATCGAAATTAGTCGGTGGGTCGTCATGAATTTTGTTTTTCGCTTATGTTTTGTATAAAAAATTAAATAAGTCTCTCAATCAATCGTATGCACATCGAAATCACTACAGATTATGTGTGTAACTTTCGTGCTCGACTATTATTGAGTATGCAATATTTACATTAGTGTTCGAGACTGTAACACAGAGTACGTTAGTATCAATATTAAACTATATCTCGATTTAATACTTCCAAACTCAATTTGTTTCAGGCATAGCATGTTTCGAAACAGTAGATCGTGATTATTTTTGTACGAGCAGATTTCAAAGAGTATCTCTATTTTTCTATTTAACAAAGCTGGAATGTTAGTCAAATTATGGCCATACTCCAGATCGTTAACCTAAACTTTTCTTTACTAAAAATCAGCAAACAGTCAATCGCGAGCTTGTGGTATTATTCGGTCGATAGAATTAAGACAGCGAATCACTTCTAGGCTAAACGGACAATATTTAACAGTTTTTCTAAGAATATACAATGAATTTCAATCTGTATGGGTACGTTAAAAGATGAACAAAGCACTATACGTAGTGTTTCCATTCCTATGACGTCAGTGTTTTCGTATAACTTATTGTCCTCTATAGGATAACATGTTGTCATGATGTTTTATAAAAATTTTGAGAACTAGGACATCAAGTTTTATAGTAGGCTAACAAGTCTAGTTTTTAATTAGAAATAAATATCGAAATACTGATTGCTACAGCCATGACTATCATTGAGTATTTCAAACGAAATCACGTAGTAATTATTCAGGGATGACGCGCAAAATGTAATGATCCAATTCAGAGTCTCCTTTTACTGGTTTATTTATCAAAACAAAATAAAAAAAAAACAAAATCATTGTCTATGGAGCTCTTGAAGATGCTGAACAATGAAAGAACAAGTAAGAATTTACAATAAATGATAGGTTCATTCTCGGTAGGAAATAATCGAAATCAGTTAGGTGTAATGAGTTGTTGCAAATCGCTGAGTTGTAATTCGCGTGAAAATACAAAAAGTTCATCCAATGAACCTATAAATGTTTTTGACGAAGGTATACCTTGAATACCTTCACAATTAGCTGGGCCACTATATGTGCCAAGTGTTATTGTCATCGGAGAACTATTATTACCACCGCGAGCATTATTAAGTGTAGTTGCTGTGCCATCAGAGCCTTGCAGAAAAGATGATGTGTATAGTTTGGCTCGATTTTGACTACTCCATGTGAATGCTACATTTACCCATGCATTACTAGGCATTTTCGGTCCAATGATATTTACACCGTTTCCCGATGAGGTTGCATTTGGCAAATAAGCAACAAGAACATTATTATCACTTTGAAAACCAAGAACAAGTAGACATGTATATGGATTAGCTACGGTAAGAAAGATGCCAGTTTGCGCTTCAACTCGTACCCATAAAGCTATTGAAAATGAATTCAATGGTGTTCCAAGTGCAGTAAATTCACCTGTTGCATAATAAGAACCAGATACATTAAAGTTGATTGCATTCAACATCCAACCAAAAGTAGTTATGATTTTTGAAGCACTAGCATTGATGCCATTCGGTCCACGATCCGTTAGCCATGATATATCAAAGGGATAATAAGCCATTGCTGTAGCATCCCACAGAATTGCGTCCTGAGATTTTGCCGTTAATGATATCGATAATTGATCAATGTAACCATCGAATCCTGAACCAATTATTATTGTTGAATCACTCGTATTTGACGGGAGTTTTGGTTTGATAGAAGAATTCGTGTCATCGACAATACCATCGATTGAAATCGTTGCTGTCAGTTGACTTGAATCATATACGAAACTGAAATGATGCCATTGGTCTGTTGAAATCACTGAGCTACCTGGTATAATAATATTTGAACCTAATGATACACTCAATATACCATTGATAAGATTCATTGAGATATTGGGCATCAGTTGAATAATAGTTGCACTAATTTGAGTCTTCAATAGCATGAAAAATCCTTCGATCGTAAACGATGAGTTTACATTCAAAGCAATGATAGGTTTCACGTTGATTTGTGTTGTAATAGACTGATTTAAAACAATGGCTTGCCCATAAGCAACATAACCTTTTACGTAGTTGATAGATCTACCAATAAATTCTCCGTTACGACGAGAAAAAAGATCTAGCAAATTTTCATCGAAAGCATAGAATGCTTCTGCAACTGAAACTGGATCAGGTAACAATCCATTATAGTAAAATGATCCTGTGTTGGCTAGAAGTAATAAACAAATAAAATAAAACCGCTTATTAGTTGGACGCTCTAGTGATAATTGAATCAAAGTCATCCAGGATTTAACAATAAAAATCATCTCCGTCTATCTTGGCAGACACGAAGCTTAGTAGATTTATCATAGCTCAAAATTCTTTGCATGGAAACATATGAAAAACTAATATTTTTGAAAAGATATCTTTCACAAACAGGCTTAAATCACTAAGTGAATTCGGTGGGGAAAAGCATAAAACGATTTCAATTGCATATCTATTAAGGCTAATGTTTTACAACAGACCTAGTAAATATCAAGTTCTCGAAAATAAAGCTTTCAATTAAGTCGTTTGAAATGGTAGAAAACCCTCATGGATTTTGATTTAAAGTACTTCAAGAGTATTGATCCAGATTCTTTGCTCGACAGTATTTTAGAATTTCTTTTAAAATTTACTTACCGGTAGTAGTATTAGTAGTAGTAGTACTGATGACTAAGGTTACTGTTGATGTGGTATTTCGGGTGCCTAATACAGCTGCTAATACTACAACAATAATAAGTGCTATCGCAGCAGCTATACTAACACGTATCCTGTTTTTCTTGTACCAAGGACTATGAAAGAAGAAAAATAAATATATTGGTTTCAGGCAACCAAGCGTTTACCGAAGTTGTTGCGAGTGCTTTCGGAAATATACGCTTTCCGGCTAGAAAATATAGAAAAAGTATTTTATGATAAATTAGTTTGAGCAACTTGAACGTTATTTAGTGAAGCAAGTAAAACTTACTATGGATTCAGTGTTCGAAATAGGGAAAATTTCAGCATCTTTCAGTAATAAATGAATATGAGAATTATTCTAAAAGAGAAACTTTTAAATTCCACAATACCTTTGAAGGGTGGTTCAAGAAGAACATGTGGTGGAATCATTTGTTGCAAATGAACAATATATAAATCAGCTGCTGGATTCAATATAGATTTTACTACAAAGTATGTTCCTGGTAATAATAATATTTCATCTTCAGTAGTAAATTGAGAATGAGCACGAATTGTGCGACCATTTATTGCGTCAATAGAAAAGAGAGTTCTCGTACCTTCTTTACCCAAATATAGATCACTTTCAAGAACAGGCATCGATATTGTGCAAGACGAAAATGCCCACCATGTCACATGATCGCCTGTGGGATAATCTTTTACAAGATTTTTATGTACTCCACGCCAAACTATTTGACGAGGCGAAGGTGGTATTTTGATTAAGGCTGTAAGAAATAACTTCAGATATCGAAACCATGGCCAAAGTTTACACCGATCGCTCTCCTTAAGTGTACGGTTAAGATATGCATACAAGCTTTGATCCACTTTGCTATCACTGGTGCCCCATTGCATGGTATACAGACGAATAGCAGCTGATTCCTCCTGTGTAAGATCATCAGCTGGAGTTTTGGAATTTTCTTTAGCTATCCAAATATATGTTCGTAAATGGGGAACAATATTAAGAAGTGGCTCGCATGCTTCTTCTAATGTCAGAAGTGGCTCATAAGCATACCCTGTTATTGGCTGTAATAATTTTTTTGGTTCATCAATACTACTACCTAAATAACGTAAATTGATAAGTTCTTTTGAAATTGTATTCATATTTCTGTTTTTTTCCATTCCATCACTATATACAACTTTTTTTTATATGAAAAATGATGAGATAAAATCTCGAATTTTATTATGGCTGTAAAATAAACTAGTCAACCACATCAAATTGATATGCATAAAGAATGCTAATGTCATCCATTAGTTCATCAATATGACAAGGTGGGACAAAAATAAATAAATAAATAAATAAAACAAAAACAGTTGACAGTGTTGCTTTTGAGTATGTTTTCTATTAAATATTTACTTATCACTCTTGTTAAACGCACATGAATCACTCGTGCGTCAATATATGATGTACATCCCAAAAAAAACATGAAACTAAACGTGTTTGACTGGTTCTATATTTAACTTTTTTTATGCACACACGTCATATGATTGAGTTATGCGCAATTTAAATCAATCATATTCTCCCATAGGGGAAGCGATAGAAGTAACGAAGCATGACTAAGTTAATGTAAACGATTTTTCATCGCAAATTTATAGTTCAATCAATTTTTCGTTGTCCTATTCTATTTAGCTTTACGATTTGCGATGTTACATAAACCAGATAGAGATTTTAGAAATTCTTTTAGACAATTTGCATTTCATTTTGACTCATTTAATTCTATGTAGGCGTAATCAAATTTTAGTCAAATGAACGTACAAATGACCGCTCAGACATCAGAAAAAACTCGGTAATTAGGTGAAAATTGGCATAAAAATGAAAATAAACTTTGCCTTTCTCTTATCTTTATATGTAAAAAAATAACATTCTAATCAAAAACAGAAATTATCATCTATTTTATCTATGTGAAGTAATTAGTGAGTCGCACAGTTTAATCACTCCGATATGAAATAGAATGTATGCACACTTTGTTTTTTGTTTGTCATCGTAGACTTTAAGCAAAGATATATTTTTTTTGAAATATAACTACAGCGAATGGATATCAATTAAAAACACTTCTTTGCTTTAGATTTGCACCCTAGAAAGTGTCATCAATCAAAAAAAGTCTATGAATTGATGAAACTATCTAGTTCATAAAACTTTGTCTTAATTATTGAAGTTTCTCAGTTCATTTTATAGGCATGATTGTTGGCTAATGTAGCATTTAACTTATAGAGGTCTTCGATGTCAAAGAAGAGCTAGTACCAAACCATCTTGAATGATAATCATATCACTCGCTCTTAAGAGGCAAATTTAATAACAGATTTGAATCAACATACTTCGTCGACAAAATGAGTATGATCATCATTAAATTAAATGCAGACGAAATCAAGAACTAATCGATAAATTAGGTTTCTTGATTTCCTTTTGTTGTGATTTGCATGAAAAAGCTTGTTAGCGCAGCCCCTTTGCGGCTAAAATGTGGAACTCGCATATACTGTAACTGCTAGTAGATAATTTAGTAAACTGTCTTATGTAATGAAACATGATTAGAAGTTCGGATGAATTGAAATGAAATAGTAAAAGATTATTACCAAGAAAATTTGATTTCCTAATTAAGAGAAGTCAAGCTTGCTAAGAAAATGTCAAATTTTGTTCAACGATAAATTTATATGTCATTGGATTTTTTCGATTTTTATAATGATTGAAGGGNAGCCTAATTAGTCAAGCTCCTAATTAGCACAATTTTAAACTCATCAATGTCTGTAATGGGGAGGGGGGGGGAGCCGCAAAAATCTCGCTTTTAAACTTACACTCACCATTTTCTTCGGAAATATATGTGAGTGCCACAAAACCGGAGCATTTATCTTGTAAATTAATCAATTTTATTGGTATTTATTTTATATTGTCAAATAAAAAGAAACAAATATATGCAAATAGCTCTTCTTAAAATTTGAAAGTTCATGTTGGTTTGTCAAGCGTGAAGAATCATTTCCTGTATGTTGCGTACTAGAGACTATTTTAAAAAGAGAAAAGTTAATGTGAGTAACATGCAAATGAATTTTTTTACCGATTTATGGAGTTTTTTTTTATGAATTTATAGATATGTCCTAAAAAGAAAAATTGAATTTTTGATCTTAAAAATAAATCTGAGTAGTTTAAAACGTATGCTATGCATATATGCGAATATTTCAGTATACGAATAAAACTTACCTGCGCTTCATAGACATGTGAGATTGATTCAATTCAGTATCTTTTAAAAAATAAATACACATGAAACTTTTTTTTTATCACAAAGAACAGAAAGTGTATCATACCTTGAGACCGTGCTGTCGAAATAACGTTCGGTTGTGAACGAATGACGTGTAAATTTGACGCAGAATTTAATTGTTCATTCAATTTTAAAGATGAGTCTCTTAATAATAATATTTCATTTTCTGTCTTAAGAATAGACAGAGAACGAGTATTTCTACGATTTACTGTATTAGTATAAAATGAAGCTCGTGTTCTTTTTCCGTTCAAATACAAATCAACTTCACGAATAGGAAGTGATGCTTTACAAGATGAACGTGCTGACAATTTCACATGATGGTCGCCTTGCTGATAATCATCACCATCTTCTTTTCTTATGTCTCAACAAACTATTTGACGGGAAATTGGTGGTATTTTTGATAGTGCTGTAAATAATAGCTTGAAATATCGAAACCATGGTCGAAGCTTTAATCGATCAACTTCTTTAAGTGTACGATTAAGATGTGCATACAAACTTTCATCTACTTCCTCATTGCCAGAATCCCATTGCATTGTATATAAATGAATAGCAGCTGATTCATCCTGTGTAAGACCATCAACTGGATGTTTGAAGTTTTCTTTAGCCATACGCACATGAGCCTGTAAACGAGGAACCATATTAAGAAGCGATTCACATGCTTCTTCCAACGGTAGAAGTGGTTCGTCATTATAACCTGTTGTTGGTTGTAATATTTGTTTTTGGTCATCACTCAGATCAGTCATTTTCATTGAAAAAATATCGAGGTTCCTATTATGGATATACCTCCAGTTATTGCTATTTTTATATATGAGAAGTGATGGGAAATAGCCCCCACATTAATGTCTCATCAATAACAACTAGTCATCCGTGTTAAATTTGTTTACGTTCGTCAAGCTTCTACTATGTAATATAACAATGTAAACTAGCCAAACAAAATAAAATCTATCAAACATCCAATGCAGTAATCTTTTGCTAATCACTAATTTCTGTATCTATTTCATCTACTATTCTCACAAACGATGATTCTACAACCAACGTTTTTTAGAAACTTCATATTTTACTGATGATCATGAACTACAAAAATTTACATCGATCGAGTTCATGAAAATACGTGTGATGTATACAATGTTTTCATTATAAATTTTGCATTTCCCATGTTATTTAAACTAGATGAACAGTTGAAGTATCATGAAAAATGTTTAATTGCAAGAAAGTTGATTCTCTTTTTTTTTCTTGTTTATCTAGATTTTTACAAGTTCTTTCAAACAATTTTCATCTCATTGTGATCTTTCCATTAGCTTATACTAGCAATAAACCGTAAATCAATGAAAGTGTCAATGTTGTGTTATACATTATAGAAACAAAATTGAGTAACCACAAGTCAAATAGTACAAATATCAGTTTTTCTTTCTCTTGTCTGCAGATGTAAAAGAAAAGTGCTAATGAAAACAAATGATTGTCTTCCTATTTGAAGTATTGACTAGCACAGCTAGATTCATCCTAATATAAAACAAAATGAGTGCATTTTTTTTCTTTTTTCTTCTTGATAGGCATGTACGTATATTTTTATTGCTGTAAACTACTGACAATGAGAAAGTGATGAAGAGATCTTATCCTATCAGTGACGGCAGAGTCACTGATACCCGTGAGGCTTGAGTCTCACCTAGATTTCAACGGATGATACTCAATGTCACTTGCTTTTGTACTGAATATTATTATTTTTTGATTCTCAGAATTTTCTATACTGTAAGTATCTAATCTAACACGTTTATATACATATTCTCTCATATATCCATGTTATTCTGCAATTCACTGGCCACTCATGTTTCTTTCGTTCCTCTATTATATTATCGATTAGATGACATCAATTTCTTTAAAATAGTGTTTCTTCGACACGCATACATAAATAAAAGATAGATTCTCTGGTTTTCCAAACGTTAGACTGTTGCGATTTTGACAGTTTTTTTCAATTATCTCAGAAACTGTAAGGGCTAGAAATCTCATTCAACACACCTTATCTTGTTCTGCGTATGATGCAAAAATGAATATTGTTTATTGAAGTTTCGAACTTCCAGAAACCTTTTTTGGCATCGGAACGTTGTTACATGAGAGGACTATTTTCTTCAGTGGCACTAAACAGCCGAAACGCAGGTAACGCACGGACGTTTTTTCAACTTCGAACGGTTGTACCTCGATAATGGTAAAAGGAAAAAGCTTGTAAATTTCAACACTTATGTAAGTCGACAACTTCTACAATACCTGAAAGTTTGAGCCTCAATCGTTGGGCTGTTTAAATTCTATAGGTGAAATACTGGTCGGTAACACAGACAAAAAAGGTCCTTCGTTCTCAGTAGATGCGAGAGAAGTGATAAATGCTGTGAACTACGCTGTGTTAATGAATATTGTGACAGAGCATTTTGTAGTTCAGAAGTAGAAGTATATTTTGGTGAAAAGAAAATATAATTAATTTGAAAAATGAGCGAGCTATTGACAAAATTGGAAGTAACACACAGACATCTTTTTTTAGAAAAATGTCTGTTTCGGGCGAATTTGATATCAATCAAACTATTTATTTATTAGAAATAGTTGATCATTGGTAATCGGATACGTTGATCATGATTCAAAAGTTTATTTTGCTTGAAACTCACGTTTGGGTTGGAAATTTGAATATCAGACCCAAAAAGGACCAATCGAAGATTTTCGATCCAGATAATTCTTAGGGCACTATTGTGTAGAGCACATCAAATTACCCATGTATTCATTCGAAAAAAGTAATTCACAGTAGAATATGAAGTTTTACGAGGTGCATATTGCTTATGTTGAGTGACAACAGGAAACATGTCTATGTGTTACCCAATTTTCAGAGTAAAAGAAAAGAGATGAAGAGAAACCAATTGGCTCATCGGATAGCCCGTAAAAATTTGACCGTAGGCCATTGATCAAAATTAAGAAAACTGTTTTAATCTCATGATGCGATAAACTAAGAGCCCTTTTTGGTAACGCACAGACATGCAAAACATGAAGGTTTTTAGTTCATTTTTTCTAAACAGAACATCGATCTGGAAAAATTTGATGTAGCCATAAAGAAAGTCCGAACATTTTTCTACAAAATGCTACATGACACTTCATGTTTACTCCTTTCTTTCCGTGTCTCTCATTTACATTTTGAGAAGCACTTCCAAATCAAGCCTAGACCCTGGTGACCAGTAATCAGTTTCAGTCATATTTTCCAGCCTTACTTATGCTGTCAAACCAATCAAAATAGAGTTTCTTATGCAGAAAGTTGTGTTTTGCAAGATGGTATAGTATGTTTTGAAAACAAAACAACTTCTACTTCAATCATGTTGGTTGACCGTTAGCCGTTTTGACTGTAAAGCAACTCCGACTTTTTTTAGACAGCATTTCTTCAAATTAAATGTCATCAGACAGCTATTTGGAGTATCAAATGGACTTTTAAATGATAAAAAAGATTTTTCATAATTCACATTTGTTGAAATAAAAAAAATGCAAAAAACAAACGTAACGCTTGTACGCTATTTTTTGCTCATCAATTTTGGGCCACTTAACATGCTCAGGTCTATTTGGTTTTTAGAGCAATGGGTCCATTCTCTACAGATAATCGCTGTACAAAAAAAGCAAGTTGCGTCATTGAATCGGAAGATTGTTATCATTTCGGAAATTTGAAAATTCGTTAACAGTGTATAAAAGTTGTCTTGAGGGGTGAAAGTTAAATATAGACAGCCTAGTTTTTAGAGAATTAAATTCTGTAGCGAACGGCATGGTGTGCAGCATTTTCCCAAAAAGCCCTTTTTAAAAAATTCAAAATACGATTTTTGAAAAGTCTTAAATACGATTTACGAAGCCAAAGTTCCATTTTTTCAAGAAAAAAAACTACTAGATACATAACCATCACAAAATAAGCATCTAATGATCTATAAAGATCTATTGGTCTGGAAAAACAATTTTGAATACCTTGATCATCGCAGTATCACATTACGTGGACAAGCCGTTCTATTAACTTGAAAATCTATTGTTCGACTTTTGCATCAAAGTAGGAGCAAAGAAAAGTATTTTTTGGTATTTTCTAATCTTCTTTTTGATACTGACTATTTTTATGTTTACTGAAGCTCAATAAAAAGAAGACTTATTTTCTGCTTGATACTTTGATAAAAATTCTACGGTAGAAAAAAATATTATGAGCCTCACCTAACTTAATGACGCTCCGCCGCCCCTACTCGAAGAGTTGTCTTTTTGGGATTTTCATCAACGCTTTGTTATTCAATATTATAGATTCAATGGTTTTTACTGTATGAACAAGTTCTCGAATTGGAAGATTAATACAAGCATCCAAACGAAATATACGGGCGAAGTTTTTGAACAAATTAATGTTTCAATCATTGATCATTGCATTTTGGATGAATTTCGATCATAAATATTTTTAAGCGTTCAAAGTAATCTAACATATGTTCGTTATCGCCTTGAAATAAGAGGCGTCCTTCTGTTCGAAAATGTTGAATATTGGTAGGCGTACGATATGTTTCATAAAATTGGGTCTACGAAAATTGCTCGAATGAAAATTGGTCGAACGAAAATTGATCGCGGTTAATTGGTTGATACGAAAATTTGTCGATACGATAATTGACCGATACGAAAATTGGTTGATACAAAAATTCGTAGGGATAAAAAACAATTAGAGCTTAATTTTAAAAAAAGGATCTTCTAAGTAAACTTGCAATTAATACTAATAAGTTAAACGATAAAAAATGTAATTTTCAGATCATAGAGAAATTATTTCTCAGAAAGAGCACATATTTGTCTGAAATATGGGAATTGTTATATGCTTAGATTGCTTCAAATAAGCTTATCATTTTTTTTTGATAACATCCATCACAATAAGCTAGAGTTCACTTGATCCAATAATGATTAGATTAAAAGACTCTTAATACATTATATTAAAACTTATATATGTAAACGGAACACTACT